AAATGGCTGTTAGGTTTTGCATGTATTCCACCTTCCATTCCTTTCTGGGAGTGCGGAAGACATACCATATTCAACATGAAGAACTGCCAGATGCTATGTGTGGTCAGAAGCTTGTTCTTTTTTTAAAAAAGTCTTTAAACTTTTATAGTCTGAGCTTACTTTTCTCCCTCCAGTGACCTAACAGTTCTTATCAGGAAAACTTACCTTTCTACATGCTGCCAGGTGGTACTGTAACCTGCTGGCTGGCATCCTGTGGTTTGGGTCGTAAGGACATATTTCTATGGCTTCTGGCTCCATGAGGCCTCAATAGCAGGAAGCATGGGTTGGCAAAGAAAATATCAACATTTAAGATCAGTAGCCTTGACATAGGCCTATTTTCTGTTATCAAAAGAGTGGTGTGAAATATATGGGTATCTTGAGTCTTACCTATGAAAATTTTGGATCACTAACACAATAGCCTAGCCAGTTAGATAATAGGAGAAATTCGCTGCTTATATGCCTTGGAAGACCAAAAATTAGCATTTGTACATATTTTTTGGTCTTATAGGTTGTTTTTACTAGAGTGCTTTGCCCCCGAATAGAGTATTAAACAGGGAGGTTTCCTTGGAAAACTCACAGCAGTCGGGTAAGATGAAGTTTAACACCATAAGATTGAGTGCTGGAGAAAGCAAGCCTGGGGCAGCTGGTTCCCTCACTGTTCAGCATTGCTCCCTCCCATCTCTTCACCAAACCTATCTAAATTAAGCTCTTTGCCAAACGAGGATGCTATTTGTCAGATAGGTCAGCACAGACGCTTTTGGGGAGAGGGGATTGGAAGAATGAACAGTAGTATGTTCAGGTTCGGGCTACCTTATAATTATCTGAGAATGTCAGTCTGAAATCTCTCAAGTTGTAGGTATTAACAAATGAAGACTCCTAGAAGTGAACTAAGAATACACCATCTCAAATCTGCCGCATTTTACTGCCAATAGGAGGCCTACTTTCCCTTATGGCTAGCTGTCTTGAGCTATCCTAGCGGAGTTTCACTTCAGGGACTCCCAAATTTCCCGGTAACAGCTACAGCTGCGATTTCTGCAAAGCAGGGACAGCATGGTCTGTTGGGGGGAAAAAAGATCAAGGCAGACTAGCATACGCAGTAGGGATAGAAAAGCCCATTTCAATTCTGCTGTGCATCATGCCTAGGGCATAGACAAAGGGCACAGAGCTAGACAGTTAAATGTCAGATTTTCCTGAGGGCATTAGGTGATTAAGTCCAGGGATTTAGACTCAGATACGTTTCAGGAATACAGGCCACGGTGGTTCTTTGAAGCTTACACTGCATATTAATGATTATATTAGAGCCGTGCCATGAACACTTAATATGAAGTGAATTTGCTCTCTGGAAAATAGAAGGCTGCGTATAATCCAATATTGTATAGTTATCTTTAGATGTAAAGATAATGGAAAAAGAGCTTTAATATCTAAATGTAGCCTTTAGATAACTCCAAACCCTTATTTTAGCCAGCAGCCTAGAAAAGTATGAAGTTTGACCAGATTCATAAGGATGGCAGCGATGAAGGCCTATTCATTCAGAATAGGCAGCGAGAATTGGTGACCTTGGATCATTCACCTAATTATTGATAGCTGAATATCCTATGTAGAGAGGCCAAGACTATGTGGTTTAATCGTGTTAGACTTGGCAAGAGTATTCTAACCTTGACACTTAAACCTAGTCTGAAGGCTCTTGAGACCTCCCTTATTCTTGAAGCAGTGTCTCTCAAGAATCCAAAGGGAAGTGTCCCTTGAAGAGGAAGACAATCCTGTATGGCAAAACAAGGCAAATAGCTGAAGTTTGAGGAGCGGGAAGGCACAGTACCTTTCAGTTAAGTGATGTGAATCAGCTTTCTGTGCAAGCTACTCAGTTCCTCCTCTCCCACCATATGTTCTATGGTTTCTCAGAGGTTTGGAAGTTTTTGATGTCATAGTTAAGTCTTGGAGAAGTGGTTCTCAATCCTGGTTGTGCATGAGAATCACTGAGTAGTTTTAAAGTAATAGGTCCTTTAGCCTCACTCCAGAACTATTGGATTAGAACCTTCATGAATGGGGTCTGGCTAACTGTGGCTTTAAAAGAGTTCCACAGGGGATTCTGATTTGTAGCCAGGGTTACTAGGCCCTGTTCTGGGGTAATTAAACTATGCTTAGAAGGATTTCTCGAGTTTCCAGGAGGAACTGCTGCATATCTTTCCAATGAAGTTTCTCTAAAGTATACCAGCCAGCATGATTAGTCCCATCTTTAAACCTGGCCTTTTACTTTATGAGATGCCAAATGGAATTCCACAGAAAGTGATGTAAGCTCACTACATACTAAAAAAAAACAAAAAAACAAAAAAACAAAATTTTTTGTTTTTGGCATTCCTAATCCAGAGTACCAGTCTTGGGCCATACGTTTACATATGCATTTCATATAGTAATAATTTCCACAGTTGTATGAGGGATTACCACCATTTTATAGATTAGAAAACCAACTCGGTGGAGAGAGCCTAAAGTTACAAAGCTAGTAAGTGTTTGAGTACCATTATTAACATTATTTGAAGTAATACATGTAGGGCACTTAAAATATCTGGTACATTGTAATAACTAGGTCATCACTTTACGTGTAGTAACTTATTTAATACACAAAATATCCTTATGAGAGAGGAACTAGTATCAATATCTCCATTTTACAGACAGGGAAACTGAGTCAGAGCTGCTAAGTGATCGAGTTGGGATGTGAACCCAAGCTATCTGGCTCCAGAACCTGACCTCTTAGCCTCTAAGTCATAAGGCTGAGCCTGCTGTGCTCAACTACATTTGAGCCCCAAAGTTTGTCTGATGCCAAAAATGTAGGCTTTTCCTTTATACCAAGCACAGGCAAATAAGTGTTTCCAGGGTCCAGCAATCTTACAGTTCAGCTGAGGAGGCAGTATAATATGAAATGGGCAATTAAAAGTGAAACCTGATTTAGATGTAAAATATGTGGTCTAGACCAAACTGTAGGAGTTCAGCGAGGCCTGGACTTGGGACTATTTTGAGGTAGATCCAGAAGGTTGACTAGGATTTGGGTCAGCAAGAGGGAAAGCATATAGAAGTGAGAAAGGCAGAAATGAACATGGCACACGCCCCACTAGGTTGGGGAGTACGTATTAGGGGACAGCAGAAAATAAGATTGACTTGGTATGGAGGGTCTTCAACAAAACTTTTAGGATGAAGATAAGAAACGCAAGTGAGAAAGATCTAGTAGAACTATACTAACCTGTAAGAAGGCTGCTGTACTGCTGCTCAGCTTCCTAGATGCTGGGGGAGAATAAAGATGCCTGCTCTTTATTCGCCCCCATTAAGGTGAAAGACCAATAGAAATCCCACAAATCTTGTTAGTAGAACCTACGTTTCTTTGGTAACAGCAGGTGATTCATATCTTCAGGACCAATATCACCTTTTGTGAGGCCCATTGCTTTCTAGGGACACAATCCAGTAAATAAACCGGAAGGCAGATTCTATTTTTCCAAAAAATGCAAAGTCTCCCTTAGAGATGTTTGAAATGTCATGTGTTAAGCATTTCGATCTTCTTGTTTCTTTAAAAAATACATTCTCTTGGGAGCAAACATATTAAGTTCCTCAAATAATAATGCTAATCAGCTCTCCTCTCCCTCTGTCCCAGGATTTATTGGGACAATGTGAGAGTCCTGGGTATGGAAAGTGGGAATGGTTGAAACGTGGGGAAAAGTTATTGGAAAGGAGGTCAATATGAAGACAACTCTGATTTAGAATTTTTCTGAGGATCTTCTGCTTTTTGCCTAGAAAGAAACTTGAAAGCGAGGTGGTTTTCTTGAGTTAGGGAGTTAAGGCCTGGTTGGAATGGCAAGAAAATTTTAGTGCTAAAATTCATCCAGCCTTTTAAGATTTAAAGTCTATTATTAATTTCTCCTTGTTAATCTCAGTTAATTTGGTTCTTCTTCATGGGGCCTATTTTCCAATTTAGTCTGAATAATTCAACAGGTAAATCTGTGTATTTGTTGAGTGGCTACTGTGTCCAAGAGGTAGTATTCTAGATCAGTGTTTCTTAACATGTGTCCGATGGAACATTTGCACCAAAACGTCCTAGGGTACTTATAAATGCAGACTTCTAGGCCCCACTGCAGACCTACCAATCCTGAATCTCAGGGGATAGAATTGATCTCAGTTTCTTAAGCATCTTTAAGAACTATTGCACTAGAGCAGTGGTTCTCAAACTTGACAGTGCATTGGAATCATCTGGAGGGCTTGTTAAAACACAGCGTGCTAGATCCAACCCCAGAGTTTTAGATTCAGTAGGTCTGGGATGGGCGCTGAGAATTTTTATGTGTAACTAGTTTCCAGGTGATGCTAATGTGACCACACTTTGAGAATCACTGAAATACAGCATTGTGAGGGATATAAAGAAATATTAGATACAATTCCTGTCATTAAGCAGCTAATGATGTAGTTGGAGAAGATAAGACATACACTTAAAAATATAACAAGGATTACAATGTTATAGATAATATTTGACATTGGGTGGGGTAATTAGGAGGAGTTAGGATTTGATCTGGGCCCTAAAAGATGGATCGGCCTAAGGTTCAGTAGAGGATAACATAGGCATTCCTGATAGGGATATTAAAGAGGGAAAGTATAAAGGTGTATGGGAATCGGGTGGTGGAGGCTCATTTGTCTGGTGTAGATCTTTGTAATAGGACACTAGTGGAGGGCTGAGGCCAAAAAGGTTGGTACCAGACTGTGAAGAGCCTTGAAAGCCTGTCCCTCCCCCCTCCTCCACCCATTTCACAGTCTTACCAAAAATGCTACACAGCTAGAAAGAGGAAGTCTTGCCTGCTGAGTGTGCAAGAGGAAGCACAAGAAGATTCTGAGGGCCTGTGAGCCGTAATGACTGCTTTCACCCATGAGCCAATAGCAGAGACAAAAGGAAGACCAGCGCACCAACCAGGCTGGGTGCCTCCGCCCAGAGGGTGTCAGCACCCAAGCTGAAAGTGTTTGGGGAGATCAGGCGTTGCTGTCTGGGCGCTCCTCTCTCTCGGTGGTCATCATGTCTTTGACCTCGGCCTACCAGCATAAATTAGCAGAGAAGCTCACTATCCTGAATGATCGGGGTCAAGGGGTTCTCATCCGTATGTATAACATCAAGAAGGTAAGTATGAGCAACTAGACTAGTACTGATCATTCCAGCAATAGTAGGGCAGGGAACCCCGAGGCCTCCTTTCTCCTGCTGCTTTAACTGGCCTTCAATCACTTGATTATAAAGGCCAGCCAGTGCTGGGAGGTGGAAAGGGAGGCATTTTTTCAGGGCATCGCCTTTCTAGGTATGATTCTCGCCTCAATGAGAGTGTCTGCTTTCTGCTGGGTGTGGGGGTAGGGGTGGGGTGGGAAATAATTGTGTTCTGAGTCACTTGGATAAAGGTCTGGGGTCTAGGATTCTGGGTCTTATTGTTTATTGCTGATCCCCCACACTCTGCAGATATCCAAAGTTGGGTCTCTGGGAAAAACTTTCCCATGGAAGTACTCCCCTAAAAGGAAAAAATAGATATGATATTTAGATAAAAAAAGGGTAAGTGCCTTCTGAGGTACTTAGAGTCTGGGACAGTTCATGCTGTGGTTGTGTATGTGTGTGTTTAGGATGTGAACTGTGGAACTGGGAGAAGCTGGTGGCAAGAGGTGGCTGGAGCTGGGCCCAGGGAAGTGAAGAGGTGGAGACAGGGGTGGGAGTAGGGAGTTTCTGGAAGAGAAAATAGGGGACTTAGGAGAGGGAACTTCTGTTCATTTTGTAATAAGACAAATCACCAGGTTTCTCTGGCCCCGTGTCTCCTGTAAATGCCCTTTGGGATGAGATACTTGTCTAGTGGACATAATGGTGACACTGAGTCTCCCACAAAGTCCTGAGCAGCTGCTGGTCTCACTCCTTCCGGCTTCAGCGGAGCGGGGGCAGGGAGCTTCCTCTTTGTGCTAGGGCCAAGCAGACTTTAAGCTTTCCCCAGCAAGCAAGATCCCCAGGTTATTCGGCTCTTCTGATGGTTGGCTTAATGTCCTGGAACTCGTTCCTGACCTGCTCTTATGCTTTTGTAGTTAATTCCCAGATTCCCTTTTCCTAAGACAGATTGTATGAGAATGAATGATGCAGGAAGAGGTATGTTTCTGAGGGGCAGGAGGAGGGGTTGAAATACAGTGTGGTTTATCTGTTCAGACTTGTTCAGACCCCAAATCCAAGCCACCTTTCTTACTGGAAAAGTCCATGGAATCATCTCTCAAGTATATCAACAAGAAATTTCCCACCATAGACGTCCGAAACAGCACGGTGAGAATGTGATCCCTCTTCCCTCCTTTCTCTGAAATAACTCTATGCTTGGATGGCTCAAACTCTCCTCTTTTGACTGTCTCTCTTTGAACTTGGCAGAGGATGGAGTAGCCTTCTTTTAGTTTTCCTAAGCTCGACCGCATGTCTTCACTTTGTTGTAGTCTTGAGAATTCTGAAATAAAATGGGATTCTCCCGGGGTGAGCTGGAGCAAAGCATTGCCCCTTTCTCCATTGCAAGATTCATGAGAATGCTTTGTTCTTGTGGAGGAAGATAGCTCTAACAACCCAGCAGAGTGTATAGATTTTATTGTTCTTCCTGTTTTGCACTCAGTGTTTCCTTGCTATTGTCTTAGACTTAGGCATCTAGTGGCATATCCCTTACTTCTCCCTTGTTAAATGTTAGCCCTAGATTTCTTACCATCTGATCTGTACCATCTTCTCATTCTGCTTTTTTTGATTTTGATATAAATAGTAAACCTCTTTGCCTGAAAGGGGCCTTGAAATTTCTTCTCATTTAGCACTCTATCTAGTCAGGATCGTATACAACTATCCTACCTAGATAGAGAATCTCGTCTGTTTCAAGAGATTTTCCAACTTCGTCTGTCAGTGTATTTCAAGCCTCTTTAAGAACGTTTTAGTTTATAACCCCTATTCTTCTTGGGTTACTTTGATGAATTGTCTTCTTATTTTGTGTTTTTTAGAAAAATTCATTTTGTTTTGTGTTTCTCTCAGCAACATTTAGGACCAGTACATCGGGAAAAATCTGAGATAGTTAGATTTCTCACCAACTACTACCAGTCATTTGTGGATGTCATGGAATTTCGGGTGAGTGCTCTCTAGCCCAGGTCCGCAGGGTAGGCCCTGTCCTTGGGAGGCTATTCCTGCTTTAGTAGTTGTTCATTTATGTTGCTTAACACTGTTTCTTGAAAAAATAAGATGTACTGATAGGAAAGGATACCTAAGTTGCACTGTTAAATGAAAGTGAGTTGCAGAATAGTGCATCATACAGTTATATTTTTATTTTAAAAGATACATAAGCTTACATACACGTTGTATTAGTACATACATAAGAAAGATTTGGAATATTATACATTAAACTATTAAAAATAACTGCCTTTGTGGGTGGATTAGGATCAGCTTTAATTTATTAAACTATACATTTTTGTATTGAGTTACAAATTTTTAAATATTATTCCCCAATATTTTATTACAAATCTACTGAAAAATTCCAAGAGTAGTACAATGAATATTGTTCTATTCTTCTTCTGAATATCCCATTTGTTAGTATTTTGCCATGTCTGCTTATCTTTATTTTTTTCCAGACCATTTGAGTTGGCTGCAGACATCGTGACATTTCCCTCACTAAATACTTTAGCATACATCTGCTAAGAACATTTTCTTACATAACTCTAATACAATTATCATACTCAGGAAATGTAACATTGCTACAATATTATTAGTTAATACATAGCCCATATTCCCATTCCTCTAGTTGTCTCAAGGAGCATACATTGAATTTAGTTGTCATGTCTCCTTAGTCTTTAATCTAGAATAATTCCCGCTTTTTTTTTTGTCTTTTATGACGCTGACCTTTTTGAAGAGTCCAGACTAGTTCTTTTTCAGAATATCCTTCCATTTGGATTTGTCTGATTGTTAACACTGTTTGGTAGTGACAATACATGGATGATATTTTATTTGTGTTTTAAACAATGAGCAAGTACTATTTTTGTCAATGTAAGCAAACTGTAAAAAATTATTTAGTCCAATGTTTTTGAAGGGCAAATTGATAATCTGTTTCAAAAGTCTTAAAAAAACATACTTTTTTAATTTTAGTTTTTTTATTGATGTCATAATAGTTTATAATATTGTGAAATTTTGGTTGTACATTATTGTTTGTCAGTCACCATATACATGCCTCCCTTCACCCCTGTGCCCAAGCCCAACCCTCTTGCCCCGGGTAACCACCATACAGTTCTCTCTGCCTGTGTGTTGGTTTATATTCCACATGTGAGTGAAATCATGCGGTGTTTGTCTTTCTCTCTCTGGCTTATTTCACTTAACATGATACCCTCCAGGTCCATCCGTGTTGTTGCAAATGGGATGATTTTGAAAAGACATACTTTTTAATGTAGCAATTCTACTTCTAGAAATTTGTTTTAAGGAAACAATCAGATAGAAGTGCAAAGATATATGTACAAGAATGTACTCTATTGCATTATTTATGATAGTGACGACCTGATAATTGATGTATCCAATAAATAGAGGTTTGGTTAAAAGTTTAGAGTATATGTTTATAAATGAATATTATGCAGCTGTTGAAGATGATAATATATATTTATGTTAATTGGCATGGAAAAATATTCTTCACATGTTCTTTAGTGTAAAAGCAAATTACAATACAGCTTAAGACATAAGATGTCCCTGAAATGTATGTTTACATAGATAAGCATGTATAAAGAAGAAGGGAACTTCTGACCGATGGGATTAAGAGGGGTTTTAAAACTAATTAAAGTTATGCTTGTCTGTATTTTCTAACTTTTCTGCAATGAACATGTGTTATTTATTTATTCAAGAAGTAACACAAATTTTAGCCATCTGAGCAATCCAAGTTTGTGATGGTATTATAGTATTTCTTCGGATGATACAAGAGTGTGGGACGCTGCCTTGGGTGCCCTGCGTCTACCGTAGGGAGCTAATCCAGGCCATTCATCAGAGCACACAATGAAGAGAGAAATGGGGCCAGGTCAGAAGTTACTAATCTTGGAACTGAGAGTAGTGGTTAGGAAGAAGGTAGGCAGTGGTGGAGGTAGTGGAAAGAATGCTGCAAGCATATAAAAAAGCCTCTTACTAGGAAAACTTGGGAGTCCAAAGGAGATTTTAGGACGTTTTCTGGTTGCTGTAGTGGTCAAGTTCTGAAGCCCAAGGCATTTGGTATGGCTTATTTAGGGCAGGAAGTGAAATAGAGACAGTGAAGTATTGTGCATTATAAAGTAGCTAGGCTCTGAATCAGGCAGAGCTGGTTTCAAATCTCAGCTCTACCACTTATAAGATGTATGACTTTAGACAAGAAACTCTTTGAATCCCAGTTTTGCTATCTGTAAAATGGGGAAATAGGATTTACTACATGGTATTTGTGACATTTAAATGAGATAATGCATGGGAAACATCTAGCTCAGTGTTTAGCATATAGTAAAGTAATAGGCCAAAAAATGTTAATTCCATTCCCTTCTGATTCTTGTCTTTAGAGTATAAGGCTTGTATAGTGACATTGGTTGTGTGAGTGGCTGAAATTGAACCTCAGCTATATCCCGTGGGAACCGGGTTGCAGGAAGGAGTTGTAGAAAGACCCTTCTAGCAAATGAGGCAGCATAGACCTAGACAGAGGATTAGAGGTCATGTAGCATAGAAGGAACATCACGGGCTCTGGGTTCTAACTCTGGTACTATCCCTTACTAGCTTTGTGATCTTGGGCAAGTTTCTTAACTGATCTTAGCTTCAATTTAATTAAATTGATGTTAATTTAAATACAGCCTTTTTGGAAAGAGAACTTGGAAACATTTTTTCCCATACATTTTAATAAGTTTGAAAAATGTACACACCTGTGTAATAACCACCACAATCAAAGCATAGAAAACTTCCATCACCCCAAAGGTTCCCTGTGCCTTTTTTCCCCAGTCAATCCTTACGTCGCCAACTCCTGGCCCCAGGGAAACACTGATCTGCTTTTCAGATTAGATTTTTCTTTTACAGAGGTCCGTATATTAGAATCTATACAGTGTGTATTCTTTTTTCACTTTCACTCTTCATGATGTTTTTGAGATTTCTCTGTGTTGTTTCATATGTCTGCAATTCATTTCCTATTTTTTCTGAATATTATTCCATGGTATGGATACAATTTGTTTATCCTTTTACCTGTTGATGGACATTTGGGCTGTGTCCAGTTTTTGGCCATTATGCGTAAGTTGCTATAAATCATTGTGGAGACATAGTTTTCATTTCACTTGGGCAAATAATCTAGAAGATGAATTGCTAAATCGTGTGGCATGTATATGTTTAATTTTATAAGAAACTGCCAAGTTTTTCCAAAGTCATTGTTTCATTTTCCCCTCCCATCAGCAATATATTAGTGTTTCAGCTGCTTCACCTTCTCATCAACACTTGCTATCATCAGACTTAAATTTTAGCCATTCTAATGGGTACGTAGTGTTATCTCATTGTGGTTTGAATTTGCATTTTCCTGATGACTACTATTGTTGAGCATCTTTTCATGTGCTTATTGGCCATTTGTATATTTTTTATTGTAAATTACCTGTTCAAATCTTTTGGCAACATATTTTAAAAATAAAAATATATACACTCTTTGATCTAGCAGTTCCACTTCTGTAGAAATGAAAGTACCAATATGCAGTGGATAGGCCAGGAATTGGGAGCAAAGCAAATGCCCCTCAGAGGGAAAAAGGCCGAATGAATTGGCCACACCATGGGCTGTCATGTGGCCATTAAAAAGAAGTGCCTTAGTGCCCTACCAGATGACTTTGAGGACTTTTAGCAGGTAAGGTTGAACAAGAAAAGCAAATGACAGGAAGGGTGTAATATTTTCTCAATTTTGTAACACGATGATGATCAAAAAAGCCTGTCTCTCTAGCTCTCTCTTTTTCTCCCTCTCCCTGAATAAGATTGTATAAATAGGGAGAAAATTAAGAAAGGATATACCAGGTTGTTCAACTGGTTTACCTGGGGGTTGGGGAAGGATGGAGGGTGGGTGCTCATGTGGGGGGAGGGAAGTGTCCACAATAAAACTGCATATTTATTTAGGTAAAATTATGTATGAAAGAAAAAGAATCCCTATCATACTGGAATAAAGGTTAAATGAAGTATATGCAAATTATCTAGTAAGTACTTAGCACATGGTAGGTGATCAGTGAATAGAAACACATGGAAAGTTGGGTCATATTCCCATTTGTTAATGATTAACTTTTGAGAACAGGAGATGGAATCCAAGAACAGACTGACCTTGGGATATGTCAATAAAAATGGGTCTGATTTTTTGGCATTTAAGAAGCAGCCTATCAGAATCTGCATTTTGTAACCTTTTTTGCGCAGGAAGGAGGCACTGGGATGATAAGATCAGGGAGACTGTGTATAAGATAGTAGTGACTTGTGCCTGTAGAAACATGGGCATTTGGCAGGGTGAGCCTGATAGGGGCTCACTGAGGGCTTCCTGAGGAGGAACGGCCTCTATTCAGCAATGCCTCCCTTCTGTTACTCGGTGGCTCTCTAGGACCTATAAGGGAGAGAACCCTTCCCTTCAAATTCTGGTAGTACATGTCATCTTCTCTTTATTCTTTATTCATTCTCATCTCCAATTCTACCCCCAGGATCATGTATATGAACTTCTCAACACCATTGATGCCTGCCAGTGTCATTTTGATATCGTAAGATTCTTTGTAATTCTCTTCTATCGTAGAGCTATAGAAAAGGCCTTGGCTGGGATTGTGTGGGGTGGGATGGGACTGGAAGAATGGCTATTCCTCTAGGACTATAATATAATATATAATATATTATAATATATATAATATACTATATAATGAATGAATGGCTATTCATTCTAGGACTATAATTCTTTTGTAAAAAGTGCTGAAATTAAAGTGTATCTACATGTTAAGCAGATCAGCAATGTGATTTATTTAATATGAAAGTTAAACAAAAATGTTCTCATTCCACCTCCTCCAACCCCAAACGCTACATTATTTCCTGGCCTCATTGCATCTTGAGCTCACTTTCAGCTCCTGACTTTTCTTCCAATTTTCCCTTTCTGAGTTTTCAATCCTGTCAGTTCCTCCTTCTCAATAGACCCTTTCAGAGTCTATTTAGCACTTCCTGGAATGGTTGGGGTAGTAGAGGTTAATTGATCTTGCTCTTCTTGGGTTCCTCTGTGTTTTCCTTGTAGAGTCTCAACTTTGACTTCACTCGGAGTTACCTGGACTTGATCGTGACTTACACCTCAGTTATTTTACTTCTGTCACGGATTGAGGATCGACGGATACTCATTGGCATGTACAACTGTGCGCATGAGATGCTGCACGGGCATGGGTGAGTTAGGGGTATAGAAGATGAAGAATCTCAGACACCGTGCTGTGAGGTAGAGGGTGGCACAACGGAAATAGATGCCATGCTTTCTCATATGAGAACCTGTAATCTACACGATGACCCAGGCAAAATAAAACAACTTAGAATGCTTATAAGTGCATACACTGACAAGTGCACTTTTACATATAGTTAACTCTTGAATATCTGCTAGTGGCTTATCCAGTTTGCATTGTCTCTGACCAGTTTTTAATCCTGGGCTGGCTTCCACTCTGCTTTTCAGGTTATTGCAACAGGCAAAGAAAATTCTTTTTAGTATTGGTAGGAATAATATTAGCAAGGTAAAGCCATTAGAGGTAAGTTATGTATGATAATACATTTGAAGCCAAATATAAATGGATTTTGGATTATTTGCAGTTCTGTGCCCCTCCATTAGTGCAAATAAAAGTATTTAAGAACTGAAAAAATGAAGACTCGAGGGATCAGAGTAGGCTGTGGCACATTATTCTATGCATGATATGTATTCCTGTGTGTCTACATCAATATCTAGGCACATGCCTTACCCATTAGCTTTGAATGTGTATATATCTTTTTGGGTTGTATACAGATTTGGGTCCACACATATTACTTGATTTACAATGAATCAATATGAATTTATAGAGTACCTATCATGTGTCCAGTCCTATTTTGGGTGCTTATAAGGAAGAAACTTTCATGGACCCGCCCAAAATTATGTGGTTCTATCTAACCATAGCTTAATACACCTGGGCCTGGAATGGGTTATCTGTATGTGTAATTCAAAGTTTGGTATGTACGTCTTTGGAGGTGGTGGAGAAGCCAGCCTATGCACATTTCTTTATCCTATATGCAAACATGAGAGTTTACATCATGGTTAAGGGAGGCTTGTAACTCCTCTTTCCTATGCTTTCTTCTAGTGATCCCAGTTACGCCCGTCTGGGTCAGATGGTCTTGGAGTATGACCACCCTCTGAAGAAGCTAACAGAGGAGTTTGGGCCTCACACAAAGGCAGGTTCCCTGAGAGAGTGGAGAATTCCTCAGGCAGAATTATATTGTCCCCATCATTGACATTAAGGATTCACTTTCTTCCCCCACAGGCTGTGAGTGGAGCCCTCCTCTCTTTGCACTTCCTCTTTGCCCGAAGGAACCAGGGAGCTGAGCAGTGGCGCAGTGCCCAGCTTCTAAGTATCATCAGCACTCCCCCAGCCATGATTAACCCTGCTAATTCAGACACAGTGAGTTCCCTTTTCCTCTGGTCAGTGGAGGCTTTCTCTCTGCCAAGGCCATCTCTGTAGAGGGTGTTTCTTTCAGGAAACATCAGCCCTACGAGTGCTCTGGCTCTCTTCTAGGAGATTCCTCTAAGGTGATTACCTCTAGTAGCTAAATAGTCATGGTTGGGTTGAATCTTTTGTTTGGACCAGGATCGGTGTGTGCCTGCTTGTAGAAGGAATTTAGTAAATATTCACAGAACAAATGAATAGATGAAACTAAGTCATTAGGCACCTCCTCAGCCCAGCAGGAACTTGAGCACAGGCATCAATTAATTAACAAATGTTTTTATTCAACAACCGTGGGCCCAACGTCCTTGCTTCAAAGAACTTATAATCCAATAGGGAAGATATGCCATGTAGTCATAAAAATACAACAAGATGGTACAAGATGAATGAGAAGCACTGAATAAGTGACTTATTCTTTAAGTAGTAGAAGAATCCAAAGGAGAGAGCAATCATAAGGTTTTGAGTCTTGCTCTCTTGTTATTAAAAGTATTTGGACTGTTGAAGAGAAGTTATGTTAAACCTTTGTTTGTCCTGACTTCCAGCTTCCTTATCCTTTTCTCAACTGTATTCTTTTTTCCTGACTCCACTTCCAGTGCCTCACCTCTGTTATGGCAGGTTTCCTAGCTATTGGTTTATCCAAGTTCCCTAATCCAGTCTGGTACAATAAAAGTTGGTTTTGATACTCAAATTCTAGCTTGACTGCCCTTGTCTTTAGGGGAGGACCAGTTAGTTAACTGCTTGGCCATCTCTGCCTCTCTTCTCACAGATGGCCTGTGAGTACCTGTCTGTGGAAGTGATGGAGCGCTGGATTATCAGTAAGCTGTGGGTTAGGTGGGAAAGATCTAGGAGCATGTCACATGGATAGCAAGTTCTGAGAGTCTTCCTCTGACTGTTTTACCCACCTACAGTTGGGTTTCTTCTTTGCCATGGGTGCCTCAACTCCAACAACCAGTGCCAGAAGCTGTGGAAGCTGTGTCTGCAGGGCTCCCTGTACATCACCCTCATCCGGGAGGACGTGCTGCAGGTGCACAAGGTCACCGAGGACCTGTTTAGCAGTTTGAAAGGGTGAGACATGAGAGCCAAACTGATCTTCTTTTGGGATTTTTAGCCCCTCCTGACATCCCTTTTCAAAAGTCTCCATGAGTGTCCCGAGTATGGGTGGTAAGGATTAATTCTAATTATTGAAGAAGTATTTATTGAATACCTACCATTTACTAGGCACTTCTCTGGGTTTTAGGGATACATTAATTAACGAGATAGTATAGAGGTTATGAGCACGGACTCTGGGATCAGACTACCTGGGTTTGAATTCCAGCTTTACCATTTACTGGCTGTGTGATCTTGGGCAAGTTGCTTAACTTCTCCATGCCATGCCTCAATTTCCTCATCTATAAAATGGGGATAATCATAATACTTCCTTATGACCTACCTCACAAAGTTATTATGAGGAAAGAATGACTAGAAAAGTACCTGGTCCATTGTAAGTGTTGTATATGTGCTTATTAAATAAAAAAAGACTGACTCTCTGCTCTCAAGGAGCTTCACTTGGTGAAAAATAGACACACTATTGTGATATAGTAAAGGATTATGATGTATAAACACAAAGTGCTATGGAAGCATTTAGAAGGACACTTAAACTGGAGGATCCAGAAAAACCTGGAGACAGATAGACCTGAAGAGTTAAATAGGTGAAGTGTGTGTGTGTGTTTGCGTGTATGTGTGTGTGTGGAAAGGCAGGGGAGTTGCTTAAGGCAGAGAAAGATATTCTAGGCAGAGAAAATATCAAGATTTTGAGGCAAAAGGGAGCGTGGCAAGTTCTAAGAAATTCATGTAAGCTCAGTGCATGGGCAGTTGGGGTTACAAAGGTGGGGTTGTCAAGAGACAGATTTTGAGAGGAAAGCTGGGGCTTGTATGCCCTGCCATGGAATTTGAACCTGTCCTAAAAAGGATTGGGAGCCACTGAATGATTTCAAACAGGGAAGTGACATGATCATATTTGCCTTTTAGAAAAAATCACCCTGGTTGCAGAGATCAAAAGAGATTAGATGGACAAAATTACTAGAGTCAGAGATTAATTAAGTAAATTAGGAGGAATTGAAGATGACGTCAAGGTTTCTGGTATGGATACTTGGTATTCCTTAAGATAGAGAACATGTGAATAAAAGGAAATTTGTAGGGGAAAGACTGTGAATTTGGTTTTGAGCAGGTTGAATTTGAAGTGTCTGTAGGACACTGAAGATAGATGCGTGTTAGACCTTTTACTTTGTGATTCTGGAACTTAGAAGCGAGATCTGGATTCAGATGAAGATTGGTGAAATGGCAATCAAAGCCATGGGAGTAGGTGAGATTACTCAAGGAGAACATATAGAGTGAGGAGAGACTGGGACACAACCTCTGGGAACATTGTTATTGAAGGGCCAGCAGAGGCAGAGAAGTCAGTGAGGGGTGTTGAGAAAAAGAGAGAAAACAGAAGTCAAGGGAAGAAAACATTCCAAGAAGGAAGGACCGATTATCTATGTTAGATGATGCTGAGAGGTCAAATAAAATGAGGACTGAAAAATGTTCATTGGATTTGGCTATAAAGATTGTCTTAGTGCCCTTCTTGTGGATAACTTCATTTGAGTGGTGAGGTTGAAAGCTGAGTTGTAGTGGATTTAGAAGCAAATGGGAGATAAAGAATTTAATAAGTAACTCAAGAAGTTTGGCCGTGAGGAGAATAGAGAGAGAGCTATAATGAGAAGGAAGTGTGGGATTAAGGAAGGGCTCAAATACCTTCATTATTTTTTCTAGTTGCCAAACCAACATCCAGAGATCCAAAAAATACAAAGTGGAAGTTGACTACGATCTCACCTCCCAGAATAGTTTCGTGTATGTCCTCCAGATGCTTGTGTGTATATATAAACATATAAAGGTGTGCGTGTATTTCCAAACTTATATAAGCAATTTCTAAAAAGCAATGGATCCACACTCTACATTGTGCTCTGTAGTTTGCTTTTTTCACTTACTGTATTTTGGATATCTTTGCATATCAGTCTATAGAGATTTATTCTTTTTAACAGTCGAATAGTATTCCATTATGTGGTTCTAACATTATTTACCCAATCCCCTATTGATGGACATTTGAACTGTTTCCACTTTAAAAAAAATCATTACAAACAATGCTGTAATGAACATCCTTAGACATATATCTTTGTGAACAATTCTATAGGGTAAATTCTCAGAAGTGGAATTGCTGGGGTGAAGGGTATGCATATTTCAAAATTTAATAACTCTACCAAATTGTCCTCCAAACAGATGTGTTCTCTACAGTCTATGAGAATACTTATTCCTCATACTCTCAACAAATGGGTATTAATATAGAAGAATCACTGGCAGAGTTGAGAGAGTAGATCTAAGATAATTAATTAGATGTTACAGGAAGTAGATTTGGCTATATATAGGAAAACTTTCTAATAATTACTTCTTCTAAGGAATGGAAGGGATGTTTGAAGGGTGTTCAGTTCCCCTTAGCTAAGAACAACAGCTAACATGTATGATTTGTAGTTTAGGGAGTTCTGTGAAATAAATAATCTAATTTGATCTTCATGATACTTCTACTCAGGTATAAGTATTATTCTCTTTTTTTATAAATGAGAAAGTGGAGGCTTAATCTCAATGTCACTCAGTTAATAAGAGGTGGCATTAGGAAATAATTCCAGATTTTTCAACTCTTAATCCTGTCTCCTTCTATTGTACCGTGTAGAGTTTGAAATAATTATCCACCAGGAGTGCTGTAGAGCTGAATCCTGATTTAATTAAGATCCTTTCCAGCTGTAAATTTCTTTGATTCTGTGCTAAGTTCAATAAGGGAGTGGTTTGGAGAAGGGAAATGAGAGGTTATGAAGTTCGACTAATGTGGTGGCAACAGTGATGCAGGACAAGAGAAGACAGATATAAGGAACCTAGAGAGCAAAGTGCCTAAGGTAATGTGGGATTTTGGAACATGGGTCACTAGTAGAAGAAGAGCGATATTGTTCAGAAAGTCAAATATTGCAGACGAACCAAGAACAATGAAAAGACCATGGAATCTGGTGATTCAAAAGTTCACATTGACCTTAGAGAGAGCAGTTTGTTTAGTGTCAAAGGCCTTGTGGGATTCAAGGGTCAGCGAAAGGTGAGGGAGTAAAAAGAAGATAGGTGTCTCTTGGGAGGAGTTTATTGGTGTGGGAGAATGGGCAAAGTTTAGTAGATTGTCAGGGTCAAGCGAGGGTCTTTTTTTTTTTTTTTTTTTTTTAAAGATTTTATTTATTTATTTTTCCCCCAAAGCCCCAGTACATAGTTGTCTGTCATAGCTGCACATCCTTCTAGTTGCTGTATGTGGGACGCCGCCTCAGCATGGCTGGAGGAGTGGTGCTTCGGTGCGCACCCGGGATCCGAACCCGGGCCGCCGGCAGCGGAGCGCACGCACCCAACCGCTAAGCCACGGGGCCGGCCCCCAAGCGAGGGTCTTTTTAGAATAAGAGAGGCTTTGAACTTATGTGTTGGGAGCAAAGAATAAACCAATGGAGAGGGAGAGATTAAAGAGACAAAGGGATAGCTGATAAAGTTAAATTCTTAGGGGGCGAGGGGGAATGGGACCCGAGGTAGAGCTGGAGTAAGTCCTTTTACTTGAGAGCAGGGCCTGCGTCACATTGATGCACTGCTTCTTGTATCTCCCTCAAACCTGGAGGAGTACTTGGCTTGAAGGTGTTGAGGCAGGAGCACAGGACTGGAAGTCTAGACCCAGCTTTGCCCTTAGAGCCCTGTGTGACCTTGGGCAAGTCATTTCTCTTCCTAGGTATTATTTTCTTCATTTGCAAAATAGTGAAGAGAACTGAATGGTCTCTAAGCTCTATGAGTCTCTTGTTAATAGGCCAAGATGAGGAGTAGGGTCTGGAAAGGTCCTGATAGTGAGGGCAGCCCATGCTCCCCCAAGGCTGTAGTTTGGAGTCTCTGAGGACTGGGAAGGTGGGACAAGGACTCTAACCAGTGGTACGGCCAACCCTGCTGTGCTTGTGTCAATCCTCAGGTATGGCAAGCGAGTGGCAGACATAAAGGAAAGCAAGGAACATGTAATTGCCAACAGGTAAAGGTGGGGAACGGTCTCTTCAGGAGGCGATGGAATAGGAATTTCTCCTGACCTTTGTTCTCACCTAAGCCACCCCCAGTTTCTGTACAGCTTGCTTGTCTCCACCCAAGAACTTGCTGCTTCCCCCCAGACTCGTGCGTTTTTTCACCACGTCTAACAGTAGCACTGTACCTTCCTCCTGCCTGACACCCGTTCGCAACCCCAGCTTCCCTCTGCGCTGCCTTGGAAGGACTTTTAAGGGTGGGAGAGATGATATTCTCTAGTTTCCACTTTCTTTCCCCAGTGGCCAGTTTCACTGTCAACGGCGCCAATTTCTGCGGCTGGCAGTGAAGGAGCTGGAGACTGTGCTAACTGATGAACCAGGACTCCTGGGTCCCAAGGCAAGAGAGGGAACTGTTGGGAGGGCCGTGATGACCGGCGATAAAAGACTTTATGGGGAGTGACTTGGCATTGACGCATTTTTGCACTTCTGAGTCTTTTGTGATTTGTTTGTATGTGTATATGCTGATTCCCTTGAATCTTCTTGGAGTGCCCCCAAAAGTTTTGTATCTCTTTTTTGGGCACTATCCTAGTATATCATGTATTATAGCTATTTGTGTACTTGTCATCCACTATTTGAGTGTGAACTAATTGAAGACAGAGCTTGCTTTTTTTTTTTAAACCAATAAATGCCTAGTAAATATTTCTAAAATGTAATTTAATAGGGAGGAAAGCGTATTGACTGTGAGCCAATGTCAACAAATGTACATATCTGATTCTGTGTCACAATTTTTTGTGGGTCTCGGTGTTTATTTTTGGTGTGGCTCCGCAACTGGATAATGTGTATTCATATGCATATTATTAGGTTTGTTTTCTCTGTGCTTTGAAATCTGTTTTTCGAGTTGAAAATTCTCATAGTCCCGGTCCTCCTCTTAGGCCCTTTTTGCTTTCATGGCCCTGTCCTTCATTCGTGATGAGGTCACCTGGCTGGTTCGCCACGCAGAGAACGTCACCAAGACAAAGACACCTGAGGACTATGCTGACTCGTTAGTACTTGACATGGTTAAGAATCTTGACCTTAGGTGGACTGGGAAAAGGGACAGGGAGGCATCAAATGACCTCAGGTGGTCTCAGTTTCTGCCCTGTTATCACTGTCTTTGTCTCAGTTCACATTTCTAGTCTCATACCTCTCTCTGTTCTTGTCCTCAACTTGTAGGAGCATTGCAGAACTGCTTTTCTTGTTGGAGGAGATTAGGGCTCTGGTCCGAAGACACATCAAAGTGATACAGCAGTACCACCTTCAGTACCTGGCCAGATTTGATGCTGTTGTGCTCAGTGACATCATTCAAGTATGTTTAATTGATTATACTTGGGAAATCTCAGGGTGATCCCTGGTTATCTTCTCCCGGGGCCACCCTGACTGAATCTCATGCTTTGTAGATTGTGTGTTAAAAAGCCCAATTTTCCCTTCCACATTTAAAAAAAAAAGGCCACTAATCTTGGCAGTCTTTTTTTCCTAGGTGAACTACATAGAAATAAGAGAGAAAAATAGAGAGAAATTGGGTATTAGCACAGCGGGGAACTCAGGAGTTACCTCCATCTCTTGCTTGGCTCTTTCTGTCTGTTGGTGGCACTTAGCAGTTCTTTCTACCTTCATACGCTGACTGAGCCTTGCGGTCCTTGTGTCTATCCTGGTGGAAACTATGCCCACTTGATAGTAACTCCAACTTCTCTTTTAGAACCTGTCTGTGTGTCCTGAGGAGGAGTCCATCATAATGTCCTCATTCGTCAGTACTCTCTCTTCTCTGAATCTCAAACAAGGTAACTGGAGAGAATTGAGGAGGAAGGGTATATGTGAGGGTGAACATCTTTTTTTTCTAGAAATATTCATCTTCTGAGCCAGGGAATGGGACAAGATGACCATTCTGTAAGTGTGATATAGGGTGCTGTTTTATTATTCCCTTTTAAACTTCTGTTTGTCTTGCAGTTGATAATGCAGAGAAATTTGAATTCTCTGGATTGAGGCTGGACTGGTTCCGTCTACAGGTAGGTCTGTTCCTGTTAGTGGACCTCCATTCTCAAGGTTCTTCCTCCTCCACAATCCCTTCTCTTTTTATCTCCTAAGCTCTGCTCTATGGAGTGATTCAACATTGGACACTGCTGATTGCAGAGGACAAAACTTAGCCAAACTATAGCTCCAAGGTGGGAGGTCCTTTTCATTTATCTTGTTTTTCTCCACCCTTGTCCCAACTCCAACTGTAGGCATATACCAGTGTGGCTAAGGCTCCCCTGCACCTGCACGAGAACCCTGACTTAGCCAAGGTGATGAACCTCATTGTCTTTCACTCCCGAATGCTGGACTCAGTAGAGGCTATGCTGGTGGAAACTTCTGACTTGTCTACTTTCTGGTATGTCCTGATTTAGAGCTCTTTATCAATTGACCTGATCTTTTGTCTGACCTCTGTGGAGGACAGTCATTCCCCCAGACAGATGGAAAAATCTTGTTTTCTTTGAGATCTCCTTAAAGGCAGATGCTCAAACTCCACAGCTCACCATTCCAGCTTCTACCAAGTGATAGGAATTTGGAGTTGATTCCCTTTGGTTCTGGCTTTCTTTAGGAAAGCCATTTGGACTTCCCATAGCCTTCCCTTCTCTGGGATAATTCATTGATACATCTTTTTCTTCACTGTTATCTTTGGGACCTTTTTTAGGTTCTTTTTATTCTTGGGACATTGTGATTTAAAAGAGATATGGAAACTTGGAAGTTTAGTGGAGAGAACGGAAAATAATTGAGAGGGCTGGAGAATAGGGCTTGTGGAGAATGAAAATTAGTTGGTCTTCCTTTGGTATCATTCAGCATTTATTAAGTGACCACTGTTGTGTGTAACTTTACCCTTTGAGGGGTCAAACAAACAACACAATATGTTGGCTCTGCTCTCTGCATTCAATATGGGCAGGGAGATATAACACCCACATGTGAAAAGGACATCGATATAATTATTGTAAATGTAAGAAAGTATGAAAAGAGTGGATGGCATTGAGAGGATACAGGGTTGAGGACAGATCGGTTTCATGGAATTAATCTGAGAAAGTTCTCTGGAGCCTGAGTGTCAAATTTTGGGAGGGATGTGAATGAGTAGTACTGAAGGACTTCTAAATTAGGGGGAATGGCCCAAATCATGCAGAGGTTCTGAGGGAGGAATAGTAAATTTTGTACAAGGAAAGGGAAGAAGATTATCACTAAACTGCCTTGGGGTTGTCTGAAAGTCTGAAAGAGTAGTTTCTTGGATTCCCATCTACCTTAAGGATGAGGAAATTAGGGAAGGAGTGGTGAATGTCAATAAGTATTTGTTGAAAGAATGAATGTTCTCTCCATCTCAAAGGGCCCAGTTCCTAAACCCTGGTTTTAAGTCTCCTTCCACTTTCCCTGCAGCTTTCATCTCCGAACCTTCGAGAAGATGTTTGCTACAACCCTGGAGGAACCTACCATGTTGCGTTATGCCATTGCTTTCCCTCTGATTTGTGCTCATTTTGTCCACTGCACTCATGAGATGTGCCCAGAGGAGGTGGGTACCCTGAACTCCACACCCTATCATCTCTCTGATCACATCTCATTCTTATTACTCCAAAACACAATTCCAAAGGGTCGATTTTGGTCCCAAGAAGGGTACAAATGTAGGTATGTGATACGAGTCCCTAAGTGTGTCAGCTGTATGTAGAATGTATCCTCGCTCGGGGTCTCAGTTTCTTCTTCTGTAGAAGCAGTAGATGGCTCAGGCCAGGGGATCAAAGGAGCCTGATGAGGAAGCAGTGGCTGTCTTGGTGATGGTAATTTCTTCTGTGGCTCCTCTTTCCCCAAGTACCCCCACCTGAAGAACCATGGCCTTCATCACTGCAACTCCTTCCTGGAAGAGCTGGCCAAGCAAGCCAGTAACTGTGTCCTGGAGATCTGTGCCGAACAGCGAAAGCTGAGCGAGCAGGTGGGCTCAGTCCTTGCTCTCTTTCAGTTTCCCCTCTGCCTTCCCTCGGCCCCTTCCCTCTCGCTACTTTAGTCTTCCTCTCAAGTCCAAATTCTCTAACCCTTTGTCTCGAGTAAGGCTGGAGCTTTTTGTACTTGAGTTTATGGCAGGATGCTTTTCTTAGTGTAGTCCCTTCAGTCTTTTCTCCCTTAGGACTAGATAGAGGTGTCTAAAAATACTCATATTTGAATAGCTGTACTTAACAAAATCTGTGCTCACATTTGAAGTGTTCTGAGAGCTGAGTTAACTTTTTAATTTATTTCCCCTCTTCTCTCTGCCCTGTGTACACATCCTTAGGACAGGGGCCCCCAGATCACCTGTCTTGTCTCACCTTTCTGTCCATCTGCACCCTCGTCTGTGGCTGTCTGAACATTTTCAGGTACCTCCTCTGTGTTTATCCTCAGGGCTGCTTTCTTGACCTTGTTTGCTTGTCCCCACCTCCCCCTTGACTGACTCACAGCACCTGGTCGTGATTAGCTCAACCTAAATTTCAGAAAATCTGAAAATGGGGAACTTGTTCTGCTGTGGCTCTGGAGTCTTTTAGATTGCCTAGACTACCCACCCTTCCTGGGTTTGAGTCAGGCTTTGTAGCAGGTTTGGTGGGAGGGGAGCCAGGTTGTGTGTGTGTGTGTGTATACATAGGCACAGTTATATTATTACTTAACCTTTCCATTTTCTCATATGTAAAAGGGGGATAAAAATAGTTTCTTTATAGAGGTATCATAAAAAGTAAATGAAATAGAGTACCTTAAATAGTTGGTATACAACTCTCCATAGATGTTAGCTGTGATATTATTTGATACTTACTGGGCACTAAGCTGGGTTTTTGGGGTGGGGTCCCAGAAGGAAGGGACACAATTCCTGCCCTAGAGGAATGTCCCAGTTGAAGGGAAAAAGGAGTACAAATACATGTTTGAAATACATTTAAATAAATAATGCAAGGAAGATATGCAAACAAGTACAATTATGGGTATATTCATCACTCAATTTGAATACTTGCCACATGTAAGAGACACAATTAAAGAGATTTGCTCAGTGCTGTATTGGGGATGACTAAAACATTATGTAAGTAATTGTTTTCACAGGCACCAGACCTTTTGCAGACAAATGAGTATTGGCCCCTCCAAAGTTATTTTGAATATATAATTAGTGATGTTGCCGTTACTAATGGAGTTACATTTTTTGTAACTACTTTCGGAATCTACCACAGACAGTTTTGCATAAACTTCAGGGTTGACATATCTTTGCCCATCAAGGTGGACTAGATTTTTTGAAACAGTAAGAGTTTGGACTTAAAAAAACAAAGTGTGACTATAAAGTAACAAAACCAGTTTTTGTTTTTTCTCATGGCTCCTATGCTTCTCTAAGAGTAATTCCAAATGAGGCGTTTCCAGGCATGCTCTGTACGTGCTCAGCAGCATTGGATTAAATGGAGAGAATTCCAAGGTGATTACCTTGAAGGAGATACCTGAATATATAATTCTATCTTATTTTTTCTGTATGGCTAACTGAGTGAAGAGAAGAGACGCAAGATTTATGTTTAAACTAGCTAGCAAGAAATATGACATCTTATTAAAAAAAAAAAGAAGTGGAAAGAGAGTGCTGGCACCTTGTGAGCTCTGAGTCTTTGGGGGGCTGTGGTAGTGTGGATAACTGTCTCCACAGGACAGAATATGAAGGAATGCAGCAAGTGAGATGGTTGTTCCACACTAGCAAGAAAACGCTGTCTTCTGAGGTTGGAAGACTCTAGAAAGTGCAATTGGGTGGAGCTCTTAGATCTCATTCTTGCTTGAATTTTTCCATTAGGAAAGGCTCTCTCTCAGGATGTGGGTGGGGGATTGATGATCTGATCCGTAAAGACACTGCCATCTTGAGAGTTTGAACTTACGCATGGGGAGATATTTAATGAAAACTGAAAGAGGTGGGCACATTCCAAACAGGCCCACATTAGAGAAAGAGGTGTTGGAAGGAGAGAGTGAGAAAGGCAGTAAGATAAAAGGACAGACAATAATGGAGGGACCTTTTTATAACTGTTGGATGGGCTACTCTGCAGTTTTAGGAACAAATCTCATTTCTCCATTCACTTGTGTTTGTTTCTAAAGCTTCTACCTAAGCACTGTGCCACTACCATCAGCAAGGCCAAGAACAAGAAAACCATGAAGCAGAGGCAGACTCCCAGAAAAGGGGAGCCCGAGAGGGACAAGCCGGGTGCTGAAAGTCACCGGAAGAACCGCAGCGTTGTCACCACGTGAGGACCTGGGCCCTGGAGGGCCAACTGGGCACTGCATCAAAGAAGGGAGAGCAGGGAAGAGGGAAGCTGATAGCAAAAGAATGCGGAAGTGGTGCTGGGGAATGGCAGATATGGAAAAGCACTTAAATGTGAATTTTCTACTGTGCCTTTGAAGTCAGCATCAGTGTGTATTGTTCTAAGCTGAGTATTCCTAGAAGATGAAAGGGGTCTGAGGGTCATGGGCCCAACAAATCCTTCCCAGATACTAGCAGGTAGTGCCAGACCTGTAATCAAGGCTCATTTTGCTTTCCCAATTTTACCCAGCATGGACAAGCTACACCTAAACTTGACAGAATTGGCACTGACCATGAATCATGTATACAGCTTCTCTGTATTTGAACACACCATCTTCCCTTCTGAATATCTCAGCAGCCACCTGGAGGCCAGACTCAACAGGTATCACTCTTTCCTTGTCTTCTGTGTTTGCATAATATGGTAGTTCTCAAAGTTGGGTTCCATTAGATTCATCTTGATGGTCATTCTGATGCAGTCAATCTGGCCTGGGTCCCAAGCATTTCCATTAAAAGCAAATAAAAAGAACCCCAAACCTCAACAGGTGGTTTTTATGAACAACCAGAATTGATCACCACTGGTTTAGTGGAATGAGTGGGGACTTTGTAGTCAGCAGACCTGTGTTGATATCCTGGCCATTAGCTAAGACACTGGAGCAGGTTATCTAACTTGTTTGAGCCTTAGTTTCCTACTCTGCAAAGTAAGAATAATGGTATTTACCTTACGATGAGAATTACCTGTAATTGAGAATTGGTAGAGAATTAAAGATAATGAGTGCAAAGTTCCTGACATATATAGGCCTCTATAAAATAGATTCCCTTCCCTCTACTTTGTCCCTCTTTCCATTGCCCTCTAAAGTAGGAGGAACATTCCTTATATTGGAATTGGGCACTATAGTCAGCAAGTAGGAGAATGAGGGGAAGAATTATTATGAATAATCCCCTAGTCTTCTATGTTTTGTTTTGGAATACGTAGTATATTCACTCATTCATTCAACAAATATTTATTGAACATCTAATGCGTGTCAGCAGTATTCTAGAAGCTGTCAATACAGCAGTATACAAAACAAATGAAAATGCCTGCTCCTGTAAACCTTACCTTCTAGTGGGAGAGAGAGAGAAGTAAAATGAGAAAGTAGGATCTATAGTAGAATAGATAGGAATGCGTGCTAAGCAGAAAAACAAAGCAGGAAAGGGAGATAGGAAGTGTGCTGGTGGTGGTGGTGGTGGGTGGTGATTTTACACAGGGTGGTCAGGGAGGGCCTGCTTGAGAAAGTGACATCTGAGTAAACTCCTGAAGGAATTGATGAAGCCAAGTGTGTGACCATCTGGGGAAAGAGCATTCTAGGCAGAAGAAACAGCAAGTGCAAAGGCTCCTAGGTGGGAACACACCTGGCATATTCAGGGGACGTGGAGGAGGCCAGGATTGCTGAAGCAGGATAAGCCGGGGGAGTCTGGTAGGACGTGAGGTTAGAGAGCCTGGAGGAGTGGCAGACTGTGTAGGGGCTTCTGTGTCATTGTAAGGACTTTGGCTTTTATTCTGAGTGAGATGGGAGCCTTGGCAGGGTTTGAGCAGAGCAGTAACAGTAACGATTTCACTCAATATTTCAATAGGATCACTCTGGCTGCACTAGAGGAGCAAGGAGAGAATAGGGAGAACAGTTAAGAGTCTGTGTTTTGATTGTGGGAGATGCAGGATTATTTTTCAATTAGGTGTTTGCGTGGGTAACAGTAAAATTAATTTGTTTTCATTCTGTACACATTAGCTATATGGAAGGAAACGTCTCAGGTGCATACGGAGTGTCAAGAAGATGACAATTTGATAATCATCCATGTGTAAACCTTCAGAAGCTGGCAGTGGTTTCTAGGCCCTGGAGCAGCATGGGTGTGATATTCTAGTTTCCCCTGAACATCTCTAATACTTCCTCCCTGACATCATTGTTCCCAAAGCCCCAAGGTTGGCCTAGAGGTTTGGCCTCAATGAAAACTCTAAACTAGATTGGGCTAGCCCCCAGTCTGACATTTCTGTATTATTTTTCCTCAAGTGATACCTCCCCTCTTTTCCTTTTCATCTGAGGAGCAGGCCCTCCCTTCCCTTCCCTGCCATAAACATTGTGCCAAAACACAAAACAAACAAAAAACTGCCAAATATCTGTGGCTTTAGGAAGAATCTGATAAACTCATTCACATTGAGGTGCAAGTAACTGACAGAGGCTTGTTGTTGACAAAGTGTGATGTTCCTCTTTCCCCTACTGTTTACATTTTAACAAAGAAAAAAGCCTTAATTCAAAGGACTGACTCTAATTGTGAATTCTCAGGATCCCGGGAAAGGTATTTTGGAAGGAATTGGGGGTCTGGGGGCAGGGTGTTCCTGGTGTGCCCCTAAAATAATACAGTGTGGGCAGTTATTCTCCCTTCTGTAAGGTGGCTCTAGCTACACGCCAGCCAGGAGTGCTCTCTCTCCAGCCCTGGCATCCCGGGATTGCCCTGCGCTGCCAAGGATTCTAGGTGTGGTTTTCCATTTCTGACAGTGGTTGGAACTAATTCTTTCCCAGGAGAAAGGACAAATACTGGCCCTGAGAATGCAGGTGGTGTGAGCCCGCGGGTGGAGTTAGGTGGCATTTGGGGGCCCAGGTGCTTTACCCCCGACCTCATTTCTCCAGAGGAGGCAGAAGAGTATAGTGGTTAGGAATTGAATGTTACTGAATTCAAGGCCCAGCTCTGCCACTTGCCAGCTGTGTGGTCTTCACAGATACTGTCACTTGCTAACTCTGGGTCTCAGTTTCTTCATCTGTAAAATAGGGATAATAATTATACCTACCTCATTGTGTTGCTATGAGGTTTAAATGAGATGATGCGTGTAGTTGAATTATAGTGCAGCACCTGGACCACAGTGTTAATGTGGTAACTGTTCCTGTGTTTATCATTATGATTGTGATTATGATTTCTGTCACCCAGAGCTATTGTGTGGCTGGCTGGCTACAACGCCACGACCCAGGAGATCGCAAGGCCTTCTGAGCTGCTGGCAGGAATCAAGGCATATATCAGTTTCATACAGTCACTGGCCCAGTTTTTGGGTGCAGATGTTTCCAGAGTCATCCGCAATGCCCTCCTGCAGCAGACACAGCCACTGGACTCGTGTGGGGAACAGACCATCACCACTCTCTACACCAACTGGTCAGTGTTGCTTACTCTTTCCTTCTGCTTTACCCCTTTTAAGCACTTTTTCCTTCACACAGTAGGACCTCGGGTCCAGGCATTTTTAGCTCCCAGGGTCAGAGACCCCCAAACGGATGCTCGTTTCTGCTTGAGGACTGGATCAGTGAGCTGGGCCAAACCCAGATCCCCTTCTGCCCACCACAAGGTTTCTTTCTACCCCTCCAGGTAACATCCGTCGACCTACTCTGTAGTGGTTTCACCTTCTTCCTCTTAATCTTCAGTTCCTAACCTTCTTTTTCTGGATTCTTACTGTTTTAATTTCAAATGCTCTCTCTTCCTCTTTCTGAAGTTCTCTTATTTCTTTTTTCATCCAGCTTCTCCCTCTAAAGACCATTCTGTCTGACACCATCTCTCTGGAACACTGTCTCCTCACCCCCAACATGACCACGTCTAGTTTGGTAGATTGTTCTTAATAGGGAAGGGGCCTCCTCCCCCAAACCAGAGGAGGTAGAAATCAGCAATTTCCTTTGGGATTTTAAGGAAGGAAAGGAGCCGGATTCCTACCTCCCCAAGCCACTGGGTGGCGCACTTAATCCAATATATCAGCGCAGCAGGAGCCAGCCTGCAAAGAACCCCCGAGTAGGGGGAAGACTGAGAAAAGGTTTACAAATGCCGGCAGGGGCTCAGGTGAGGTAAATGGGTGTTGTGGGCTAGGTGGGGTCTTTAAGTAGCTGGAGAGGGCCATGCCCCTCTAAAGAGGGGAGCCACCACTTAGCTCCACCTGATTGTTGCTCCACTAAATCCTTACTTTTAATGTAAAATTCTCAATTTCAGAATTTTGAAAACCAATTCAAATTAAAAGGAAAAAAAAATACACCCCATGTTTGATGGCTGGGTTTGGGCACCTGTGGTTAGCTTGTGACTTCTCTAAGACCTAGGCTCAGAGCTAGGGCTTGGGTGAGCGGCAGGGGTTGGCCAAGTCCTCCTCTGCTGACACTGGCTGGAGGCCTTCTCAGCTTGCCCAGAGGCCAGGAGGGAACATTTGGACAATGGATAACCAGTGTTCAAGGTGCTTCTCTCTGTCCAGGAGGTTTGATTGAGACCCGCTTCCAGGATCCTAGGTCTTCAATCCAGCATTCTCCTTGGAGAGGTTGAGGCTAAGTATATTTCAGAGGAGCCCAATTAGTAGGAATTTTTTTCTTGTTAGCCTGGGCTTGTCTTACCTGACAAAGACAGGCCAAAGGTGAGGGGAGTGAATAGTTGGAAAAGAGCAGGGGCTGAGGGAGGGGAGTGCACGCCATTACATTTGACAGTCCAGCCAAATACCCTGCAGATTAGAGGCGAAGCAGAATTACATTACTGCGAGTTGTTTTTGAGCCAACAGCTTGGGGTGTTAATTAGAGTGTTGTACTCTCTTCTTTGAGTCTCTTCTCCCCACCCCAGCCTTTGGCGAAGTTTCTCTTCTTGAGCCCGGTGGTCGTGGTGGGGAGCAATGGTAGGGAGAAAGGATTGAACACTAATCTTCCATGCTTTCTTGGCCAACCTTGTAGGTACCTAGAAAGTCTGCTTAGACAGGCGAGCAGTGGGACCATCATCCTCTCCCCAGCCATGCAGGCCTTCATCAGCCTCCCCAGAGAGGGGGAGCAGAACTTCAGCGCAGAGGAGTTCTCTGACATCTCTGGTGAGCCCAGGGCCTGGTCTCCTTGTCAGGGAGCTGAGCCTTTCCCCTCAATACTATATCTCAGCCTACGGACCCCATCTAAATTCTCCTGCATGCCCAGAGGCTCATTCTGTACTCTCTTCAGCATGTCTGCCAGATCCCACCTTAGGGACAATAAAAGGAGATTCTGAGTGAGACCCAGAATTGAGGAGTGGGCTGGGGGTTGAAGGGGGAGAGGGAAAATGAGGGGAGTTAGGAGTTAGGCAGAGCACTCAAGTCACTGAAAAGCTTTATTCTTCGAAGAGTGGTAAATGGTTATTCTCCATTTCCACAAAGAATAAAGCGTAGGACATATAATGAAGGGTAAAGGATAAATGTAAGGAGGACATTTTGGTGTCTGGAATTATTAAACAGTGGTCCGATGTCATGGCATCTTCTTCCTTAGGGTTACGTTTTAGAGCCTTAGCTGGTGCTTGGATTGCTGATGTTTAATAACGATGAAGAGATAATGGATGACATTTATTGTGCACTAAGTTCCAAATGTTCACATGTATGAACTCCTTTAATCCTCCCAGCAGCCTTGAGGTAGATACTCTTATTACCCCCATTTTACAGATGAGAACACTGAGACACAGAGAGGGTAAGGAGCTTGCCTAAGGTCACACGTTCATAAATGGTAGAACTGGGATTTTACCTCAAGGCGGTCAAATTCCAGAGCCTGGCTGCTTAATCACTATGTAGTGCTCTTCCCAGTGTATAGAAGTGCTTTTGTGTCTCCAGGCGGGCGGGTGAGGAGTGTGTAGTGAATGAGCTGGGAAGTCGTTCTCTTTTTAAAGAGGGCTTGAAGCCATACAGATCCTTTTTAATAGATTTGTTTTACTGACTGATTCATGAACTACCCTACTGCTTCCTCCTTCCCCTCTGTGTAACTCATGGATCCTGCATGGCATCTGGGACAGGGAGGAGCTGTTTCAATGACCCTGCCCTCTCCATTTTTCCCCTTCCTTGGGGGTGTTATGGAAGTCAGAGGACACAGTTCTGTTTTCCAGCTGTGCCTCCTTCTCACCCTCGTTCTGACTCCATCACTAAGTTGACCCTACTCTTTACCTGCTGGAGGTGTCAGATGTCCCCTTCTCATGAACTCCACCCACAAACTGTAGGCAGCATCTAAAATCAGCTTTAGGTCTTGCTGACAACTGATGAGCAGCGGGAGGTAATGCTGATTCCCCCTTCTACCACCCCCACCCCAATTTCCCTGGGTTACCATGGTGATGGGGCAATGCTACTGCAAAAATAGATAGATGGAGAGAGAAGGTTGCCCTAGGGTTACTAGCCTGGAGTAGAGAAGACTAGAGTAAGGAGGTTTGGCAGATCCAAACTGGTAGATCAGTGTGTCTCCTCTCCATCTGCTCCAGAGAAGGCAATTCAGCCCCTCTTCCTCTCTGTCAGCCATTTTAGCATTATCTAAGTTGACCAGTTATGAAATTCTTTTCTAGTTCTCTGCTCAATTCTTCCTGTGTAAATAGGTGACTCTCGAAATGTCTAGTATTTACTCCAGACAAGGCTCTGTGTGAGCTGCTGTGACCAGGTCCTCGTCCTCTGTCACTGGTGGAGGTGGAGAGCAACTGGTCCTGCCTTCAAAGCCTTGAGTGTGGGGCCTTGACTTCCTTTCCCCTCTGAACTCTTATTAACTGTGTTAAACTCACCTTTCTTTTACTGGTCTCGTTGTTACTTCTGGTCTTGTATGGTTTTCCCTGCTGGGATGGCCCACGGCCAGAGACCATCGCCAGAGCTCCTTCCTGTCTGAATTTATCACTGGTGTCTCTAACGTGGAGTTTCCCCAGGCAGGTTTTGTTTACTTCACAAAGGGCCAGAGGCAGGCTGGGGAGGGAGGGATAAGGCACTGGGCAGACTAGAGGGAAGAAGGATTTGGAGGAAAAACAGCTGAGACTCTGGGGATATGTGTTGATTAGGAAAAAAAGAAAAGGTAGCTCAAGGGAAGAAAACTTGGACGGTGAGGCATTAAATAAGGGAAGGGGAGGGAGGAACACAGAAAATGCCAGGCCTTAGATAAGGAACTGTCGTGATATCTGTTGGGACACAGTGAGGGGCAGTAAGGCGTTGCACTGGGTTTCTGGTATCAGCCCTGGACTTGGTTAAGTGGCCTTGGACAAGCACGTAACCCCCCAAGACTGTTGGACCAGGATGACATGCCTTATACATCAGAGGGCTGTTAATAATTATCATCGTAATAATCCCTTATTCATATATATCTTTATAGTTTTCTAAGGGTTTTACAATATAGTATCTTATTTACCTTTATATCAACTCTGTGAGGTGTTCAGGGCAGATATTAATTTCTTCATTTCACAGAGAAGTGAACAGAGGCTCAGAGAGGGTCAGTGACTTGTTAAGGTCTTACATCTGATAAAGCTAGTCCAGCAAGAGCAGAACTCAGGTACCACATAATGGAACTTGGGAAAGTATAGATTCTCGTAAGAATGTAAACAGTTGTCATTTGTGGTAAATCTGGGCATGAGTACCCATGGGGAGAGGGTAAATTGTCCCACCGGCATGCCAGATGCCAGGCCCCATCACCTGAGTGTAGAATTTCAGGCCACTTTTGCTCCCCAACTTCCCACTTCCTTTCCTTGCTGAAACACATTTTAAATGTTCAGATTACCCCATAGCTGTTTTTTTTGGTGAGGAAGGTCAGCCCTGAGCTAACATCCAATGCCAATCCTCCTCCTTTTTGCTGAGGAAGATCGGCCCTGGGCTAACATCTGTGCCCATCTTCCTCCACTCTATATGGGACGCCGCCACAGCATGGCCTGACAAGCGGTGTGTCGGTGTGCGCCTGGGATCTGAACCTGCGAACCCCGGGCCTCCGCAGCGGAGCACTCGTGCTTAACTGCTGCGCCACCAGGCTGGCCGCCCCCCCACAGCTGTTGTGCAAATGCTCCTGTGCCCTCTGAGTCCCACCTGGGACCTCTGTAACTCTATTCCAGAGATGCGGGCCTTGGGTGAACTCTTGGGCCCCTATGGCATGAAGTTCCTGAGTGAAAACCTGATGTGGCACGTGACCTCTCAGATTGTGGAGCTGAAGGTACTGTGGAAGCAAGACCCAGGAAAAGGGTCCAGCCTCCAGGGAAGAGGGTAGAGCAGGGGACTGGGGGGAGATGTACCGTGGGTCTCTTCTTTCCTGCTTAATGTCTCTGTGTCCCGGCTGCAGAAGCTGGTGGTAGAAAACATGGATGTGCTTGTTCAGATCAGATCCAACTTTAGCAAGGCGGACTTGATGGCTTCTCTGCTGCCCCAGCTGACGGGTGAGCAACTCCCCTAAAGGGAGAAGGAACTGTGGGAAAAGCAGTGCGACGATAGGGGCTTTTAGGGATCTGGGGGCTTGGCTGGGTCTGAAGAAGCAAAACCATTGCTGTTCTCCTAAGTTCTCTTCTCTGACCTTCTTCTTCCTCCTCAGGGTCTGATAACGTGCTGAAACGCATGACCATCATTGGCGTTATCCTCAGTTTTAGGGCCATGGCCCAAGAGGGACTTCGGGAGGTGAGTTGGGTGCGAGGGGGCCACCACAGAATCACAGACACCTCCGTGGGTAGGGTTTGTGTGAGAGGTTGTGGAGATGCTTGGTGAGCATTGAGGAGAAAGGAGCTTAATTTGGTAGAGGGCCTGGAAGTTCTCTGCGGATAGATGAGTTGAGGAAACCAGAGGCGTGAGGAGGGGGGCAGCATGGGAGGCTGGCTAGGTTCTTATCTAAGCCGAGGCCCTTTTTTTGTTTGTTTCCACGTATCTTTGAAGGCAGCGGCCACTGTCCTGTGGACTCATTTATCTTCTCTTTCCTCCAGGTTTTCTCTTCCCACTGTCCATTTCTTATGGGTCCCATTGAGTGCCTGAAGGAGTTTGTCACTCCAGACACAGACATCAAGGTATGGGGTAGTGCAAAGTGGAATCCAACAAGGAGATTTTTATTGTTGAAAAAGGAAGGAGCTAGGATCTTGTAAGGGAGAGAGGGCTCTGAAGAAATCGTAGGGAGAAGAGCCAGCATCTGAATAGGAGAAACCCTGGGGGAGGTTTTGTGGAGAGAGGAGCAGTGGTCAGACGGATATTCTTGGAGAGTGAGGGAAGAGCTGGGGAGACATGGGGGGATGGAGAGAAGCGGGAGCCTGGGAGCCCCTGTGGGGATTAGGGGAGGGAGAAGGGTAAGATCTAGGCTAGTATCTAGGTTTTCACCTCAAATGTGCAAATTAGATACCAAACTGTGTGCAGAGAAGTCCCCCTTTAGTCAGGAGCTGTGGTACTTTTTGTAAAAAGATTTGTTCCTTCCATTCCCACCCACTCTGCCTGCCCTGAGTTTCCTTTCTTTTTCTGGCCTTTTCTTCCTCCTAGTTCTGAAATTTCCCAGTTCCTCTATGTCTGTGTCACCTGCCTCAGGCCCCATTTACTACAGAGATGAAGAAAGGAAGAGGGCCTTCTGCAGGCACCTCCTCCCCCACCATGTATCATCTTGTTTTTTGAATCACTCAGAACACACAAGTATGTTAAGCAGGAAATAGAGCTGAAGGCTGGGAACAGGCGCTTTCAAGTGCATGGGGCAGGCTACTTCTCTCATAATTGAGTCCTTTAATGGACAGAGGTCTGTGATAGGAGGAAACTGGTTAGCAGGAAGAATTAGAGTTAGATGTTAAGAAAAACTTCCTCACCTCGAGACCAAAAGAGTTGTGAAAATTTGCCCTCCCTCTGCCTGAAATCAGATGAGGGTCAAGTGGTCTTGGGGGCCGGGAGGGGGCGTTGTTTCGCTAGGATGGCTGCCCCTTTTGAATGGTCTTTGGTTGTATGGTGAGCCTGGGTTTCTGGCAGCTGCTGATGTTGGGGCTGAATGCTCTAGCCTGTCGGGAGTTTGTCTGCTGATACCTCCCAGGCAGCTCTGAGCTTTAGGCTCTGCCTGCCTGTGAAAATAAGCGGGTAGGGTAGAGAGAGGGGTGGCCAGTCTGTCAGAGATTCTGTTCCTGCCTCGGAGGGGTGAGAAGATTAGGAGAAGAGAAAATAAGACCCCTTCAATCATCCCTTTCTCCCTCTAGAAAACCGCAGGTCATGGACTAGGTCCCTGATCTCCTAGGCCATGGTTGCCATGAGCAGGGTCATCTAGTTCATAGTGAATTTAAATAAAAGGCAGAGCAGAATGCAGCTACGGTTTGGCTTCTGTGTCAAGTACCACAGGCGAAGTGTGTGTATTGTTCTGTCTGTGGGGTTCTTTGCATAAGATACTCTACTTAGTTGCGTACTATTGAAACAATTATCCTTGTTCTCTTAGAACATTTTAAAGTCTTTTTTTAACCTCAAAATGGGTCTAAGTACTTGGTGTAGGAGTGGGCGTTTGGGGCTACATCCTGGGAACCTGATTCTGAGTACAATGAGGGATTCGGGTATCAATCAATCAATATTTATTGAATGTCTTCTGTGTGCTTAGCATTGTGTTAAACACTAGAGAGGATAAAAAGAAATGCAAAGTTCCTGGCTTTGAGATAAAGGAAGAGGAGGAAAGGAATGACGTTTATTAGTCTATTAGGGACTCTATTAGTCACTAGGGTGGATGCTTTACACTTGTGGTTTCATTTAATCCTCACAATAACTTTGAGAGTTAAGTATTATTATCTGAGTTTTACAGAGGAGAAAACTGAGGCTCAAAGAGGTTAAGTAACTTTTAGCCAAGGTTACACATTTAGTAAGTGGCCGTGCTAGGATTTGAACCAGATCTTCTCACTCCAAAACTTTTTTCTCCCCTCCCTATGCCATGAGGCTTAAAAGAATTATAATCCAGTTGGTGAGATAAGCCGTATGTCTCACCTCCTATCTGAAAAGATAACTGATAGTACCAGGTGTCCCTTAGATAATACCCGGTGCTGTGCGTGATCAATGCTAAGCCAGTGGTACCAGTTTAAGGAGGGAGAGATGGGTTTGGGCTGAAGTAATCGGGGAGGGCTTCACAGATTTGAGTTAAGCCTCAAGGGATGGGTGTCCCTTAGATATAGTAGAGGAGAGGAAAGACACTCTAGAACAGGAGGGTATATGAATCAAAGTAAGGATGTAAGTTGTAGTTTGGAGGTAGTGAAAAGATTACGCTGGCTGCATTGACTGTGGCAGCTTTTGGGGAAATAAGGTTGAGAAAGGAAATTTGTACAGTGGCGTATCTAAATGCCAAGCTAAGGCATTTGGGTTTTTTTCCCTGTATGTTAGAGAGAGCTATGAAAGGAATACCTAGAAAAGATGATAATATACTAAAAGTTTAAAATCTGTGATCCAGGAATCCTGACTACCTGTAGCTTATGCCAAGCACTTATCTCCTGGGAATCCTCTCCAGAATGTTGTTTTCTTCTCTACCAGGTGACCCTGAGTGTCTTTGAGCTGGCCTCTGCTGCAGGAGTGGGCTGTGACATTGACCCAGCCCTGGTGGCTGCCATTGCCAATCTGAAAGCTGGTAAAATTGGGGAAAGGGGGCACGGGAGGACTTGGGCCATATTTTTGGGTGGGAAAATGTCAATGTCAAAGAAGCCTTTATTTGGGATTGTGAATTCCTAGGATATAAGCTGGGAGCTAAGGAAAGACTTAAAGAGCAGTCTCTAACCCCCAGAAAGTACTTACATAGGCAGGTTAGATTTCTAGTCAGGTTCCAACCAGTTGATCTGTCGATCAGCTAAAAAGTATTAAGTGAGAGTCTGTTTGATGCTGAGCAAGTGCTCAAAGGAATTTACAATCTGGTTGGGGAAATGAGATTAATGCAAATGAAACAATGAGAGAACAATACACGATAGTATAGGATTTCATGCTAAGTTGTGTGGTATAGCATTTAAGTCCCCAGAGTGATCTTGTGCTCTCCCCTCCGATATAATCACCTTGACACTATTCACTTCTTCCCCGGTCTCGCAATTTCCCCTGATTGCACATTCATACTCACTCACGCTCAGGATAGGATGGAACCAAAGGGCTGCTATTAAGCCCTTTTAGAATTGTCAGACTCACCTGCCCTTTTCTTTTCTTTCTTTTTTTTTTTTTAAAGGAGGTGAGTTTATTTTATTTATTTATTTATTTTTGTGAGGAAGATCAGCCCGAGCTAACATCCACGATAATCCTCCTCTTTTTGCTGAGGAAGACCAGCTTTGAGCTAACATCTATTGCCAATCCTCCTCCTTTTTTTTTTTTTTTCCCCAAAGCCCCAGTAGATAGTTGTACGTCATAGTTGCACATCCTTCTAGTTGCTGTATGTGGGACGTGGCCTCAGCATGGCCGGAGAAGCGGTGCGTCAGTGCGCGCCCGGGATCCGAACCCCGGGCTGCCAGTAGCAGAGCGCGCGCACTTAACCGCCAAGCCACGGGGCCAGCCCTGCCCGCCCTTTTCTCTCTTGGTTTTGGTGAGACTCTTTCCTTCCTGCCTCTCCACCCCATCAGGCAGCTGACTGTCCTCGGACTGTGTGTCAGCAGATCCCTGGGCTAAGAGCTCTGCTCAGTCACCAGAGGAGGCCTCCAGGCCTTAGTTAGGCCCCTCACTAACTCCTGTCTCTTTTAGCGATAATGACTTGCCTCTAGTGCTTTGTAAAGTGTTTTCATAGGTATTTTCTCATGCAATCTTCATGGTAATTCTGTGAAGAAGGACACCTATAGAAGATAACTCCTGTTTGTTGACCTTATTCACTTTTCTTTTTCCCCTCTTACTAGATACTTCATCTCCTGAGGAAGAATACAAGGTGGCCTGCCTGCTCTTGATCTTTCTGGCCGTTTCCCTCCCACTCCTTGCCACTGACCCTTCTTCCTTCTATAGCATTGAGAAGGATGGTAAGTAAGGAGTAGGTTTGAGGGACCACTGCTATTTATGTTAGTGTCCTGGGGTAGGGAGATGAGATGGAGACATTTATCTGGAAAATATAGACTTCTGGCTCAGGTGTAAAGTTCTGTTTCAAAAAGTACTTGAGAATAAACTCTCTGTAAAATTCAATTCCAGTGAAATTTCGTAGAAATATCCTTCTCCTAATCCCCAAATGCCTCCTAGTCCTTTTGGCGTCAAATAGGGGTGGCCCAGCCTGAAAAAATGAGAAATTACCAGCTGGGGTCAGCCTGGGGTGGCTCACTTTGTTATTTCCTTTTGTTTCTCTCCCCGTTGATAATAATAACCTAGGTTACAACAACAATATTCACTGCTTGACCAAAGCCATCATCCAGGTGTCTGCTGCCCTCTTCACAGTCTACAACAAGAACATTGAAACTCACCTCAAGGAATTTCTGGTGGTGAGTGGGTCTAGGTTACAAGGAATGGAAGATTGCAAAGTCTGGCGGGAATTGGTTTGACTTAAATCCCTAGACTCATTGTTGAGCAGGCTTTGGAGCCGAACCTCCCACCTAACTGGTTCAGTAAGTAGTGAGAGGCCACTCTGTAGAGGCAGGAGTTTCTTCTAAATTCCCTCACAACTGGTATTTCAGCCTCTGCCCCATACTTGGAAAGAGCATTGGACTAAGAGTCAGCAAATCTGAGTTCTAGTCTTGGATCTGCCACTAAGAAGTTGTGTGACCTCTGAAGAGCCAAACTTTTGGGGCCTCGGTCTTCCCATTTATTCACCAGGGAGATTAAACTGAATCCATGCTTCCTTTCTTTGGTGTGCATTAGAATATCCCAAAGAGCTCGTTAAAATACAGATTCCTGATCCTTACACCAGATCTCCTGAATTAGAATATCCGAGGGTGAGTCCAGGCCTCTGTTTCTAATAAGGTCTCCAGGGGATCTGATGCACAATAAAGTTGGAGAGAGACTGAAGTTTATAATCTATAAGGCCCTTTCCAACTCTAATACTGACAAAAAGTCAGACTTTTTTCAAATTCTCAAACTTTAGTGTAAATCAGAATCACCTAGAGAATTTCTGATTCAGTAGATTAGAGGCGGGGCTGGAAAATTTGCATTTACAGCAAGTTCCCAGGTGATATTGATGCTGCTCATCCTGGGAGCTTACTTTGAGAACCCCTGGGCTAGGTTTCTAAGGACTGGAGCTTACAGCCAGGAGGCCAATTTTACTGGAGGTTATGTCCAATTTGTTTGAAAAAAACTGTTGTCAAAAAAATTTTAGCCAAAGTTTGACTCCCTGTAACTATCACCATTGATCTTAGTTTTGCCTCTGGAAAAACACAGAATAAGTAATTTCTTTCTGTTGCTGAAAGAGGCCCCAGAGTTTTCCGTTCTAAGTCCTCCATGGAGGAATCCCATCGATATACTTCTAATACATGGTCCATTACCCACTGCCTGCTTGAGCATTCTCAGCAATAAGGAGCTTATTCCTTTGCAAAGCATGGTCCTAATTTAAGAACTAAGGCCTCGTCTGTCTCCTTTTAGGAGAAAACACAGTAAATCATATTCTCTCGGCAATCATACCATTGTCCTGAGAAGTACATGTCGGAGACTTGGAAGCTTAGTTAGAGGGTCTCTGTTTAAACTGGGACAGCCAGCCAGCCAGAATGGGCTCTGAGCATCTTAGATATAAGGAGGATTCAGGCCAGATCTCTAAGATGGGGGGAGAAGGGAATTTACCCCCTCCTTTTCCCTTTTACCCTTTTTGTTTGCTAAATGCTAGTAACCTGGGCCTGGGATACAATTAATCACATTTCTTCCTCCCTCTTTGATCATTTGGGGCCTGGAGGTGAATGGAGAGGACAGCCATTTGGGAGTTGACAAGAGGAGAATACCAAGAGCACTGTATCTGAATCAGAGGCCCAGCTCTCTCTCTAGTCGAGTGGGGAGTCAGCTGTAAACAGCCTGATGACAGTGGTGTCTGGAGTCTGCCTAAGAAAAGAGATTAATCTCCTGGCTTACAATATTACCTGCCTTTGTTCTAGGTTCTTTCCTCACCCCTTACAGCCTCTCCCCCAATACCCCTGGCAACCTGCATTGTCTGCACTGGCTGGTTTATAGGCAACGTGCATCTCTGAAACCTAGGGGATCTGCCACTTTTCCACCCAGAGTCTCCAGGAACATCCCAGCATTTCTGAACTCTCCTCCTTAATCTTTTCTTAACTTCCTGTAGCCTGAGGCTGTCCTACTCTGACCTCCATAAAAATCTGCTGCCTTACAAATTCTTCCCTTACAGGTGGCCTCTGTCAGCCTCCTGCAGCTGGGCCAGGAGACTGACAGGCTTAAAACCAGAAATCGGGAATCCATTTCTCTGCTCATGCGCTTGGTATGTATCTGGTTTAAGTTGGTCTGGGAAAAAAGAGCGGAGGGCTGGAGGGAGACTCCTCTTTAGGGTCTTCGGGTCCCTGCCATTGTCGTCACCCAAAAGCATTAACTAAGAACTTAATTCTGCCTGACCCTCTGGGTCTAGTACTTCTGGTTAACATTCTAGACTTGTTCTGTAATCCTAAGGTACAAGGACTTCTCTGCAGGACAGGGCCCTTCTGGCCCCTAGCTGACTGGGTTCCTTTGCGTGCGATGTTCTGGTGTCTGACCTGGTGGGGCAGCTGTGTCCCTCATCCAGAACCACCTGTCCAGTACATGTTTGGTTTTACTTGACCACTTCCTAGGAGTACTATGAAAACGGTGCTAAATAGCACAGAACTGAACTGGGGAGAGGGGATGGGGCTCAGAGATGAAGGGATTTTAGCTGAAAAGCTATAAGGCAGGGAGCCAGGTGGGCCGTGGATCTGGCAGTTCCCGCTATCTCTTCTTTCTTCCTAAGCTGTGGGCTTTTCCCTACTTTGGCAGAAAGTTCTGGGAACTCTGACTCAGTTAACTTTTAAAATATCTTTCCCTCATGACCCTGTTTCCCTCTTCAACTTGCTTACTCACTCTTTTGCTCTAAAAGTCGATTCTCCAGGTTGGTACTGCACTTAGATATGGACAGGAGGGGCTCCTCCCCTGGGCTCTGTGTTTCAGAGGCCCTCCTCTGGCCCGTGGGGAGATGATATGCCCACCTGGAGCCTGTGCCCCCCCTTGAAGCCCACACTAAAAATCTCTGGGGCCTCAGAATTCTCTGCTAAGCAGCTCCAGCCTGCTGGTAGGGCTTGTGGGGAGCTTCCTTCCCAAGTCCATCCTACTGAGGCCGGCTGTGCTGCTGGCGGCTATACCTCTAGGGCCCAAGGAATGTATGGCTGGAGTTTAGACGTGTAGGCAGGCAGTCTACGCGTGTATACAAAATCCCTCAAACTGGGGCTGGTTCCCTCTACCCTGTTCTAGTGCAGAATTCTGAGGAGTCTAAGAATTCCTAATTCAAACCTGGCCTTCCACGAAATTATAAAGGTATACTGTGAAGGGTGAAAGATAGAACGTAACAGTTTATCTGATTTATTTAGTCATTTGGGATGTGGGCTTCCATTTGTACCCTTGGCCAGGCCCACAGGTTAGGGGCAGGCAAGCAGGGAACTCCCCGCGGATCTCCTTTAAATACACAGGCACTGAGTGGTATCTGTGTCTCAGTTTCTCCAGTTAGAGAAAGGCCTAGGTAGGGCTGATTAAGGATTATGACGAGAAGGGAAGAGAATGGACATGAGGATGTGTGTGTGGGGTGGGTGAGAGGGCAGAGGGCGGGCAAATGCTAGTGGTGTGCTAGACAGAGCACGGGCTGGGGAGCAGCATGACCTTGGGCAAGTTAATTAACCTTTCTGAGACTCTGATTCTTTATCCACAAAAGTGGGCAATAATCCTTATGACAGAGTGGTTGGGATTCGTGAGATAATACATGTGAAAATGCCTAGTACGTAATAGATGCTCAACAGATGTTAGTTCCCTCTCTCTGCTGCTCATTTCCTTTCTTTATTTCCTTGGGCAGTTTTCACCTCTGTAAGGTTGGAGGTGATTCTGTATTGCCACTCATCCCTGCCTCCTCCTCCTGCTTTGCCCCCCCCCCAAGGTGTGGGGAGGTGTCCACCCCTGTGGCAGGGCAGTGAAGCTGCAGAGTGGCAGGAACAGAGCTAGGACCAGGCGCTTTTTGTTGGAGGGGGAGACACAGGGCCTAGCTGCTGCAAAGCAATTTAAATGCAAATGTTTCCACAGAGAAATTGGAAATGACTGAAGGCGAAGGAGCTGTGTTCTGAGTTAAGAGGCTACTCATGTAGCCCCAAATCCTGGCCAGGCACTTCTCTCTCTGGGGTCTTTCTGTCTTGGCTGCCAAGCCTGGGCAGTGCCCACCCCTAGTGTTGCCAGCCTGGTCCTGGCACGGGTTTCACAGGGCAAGAGATAACTCGCTCATAGAATCGTGGAATTATGGATGTCAGAACCAGACCCAATCCTGGCCATTAGTCCAGTCCTTACAATTCATAGGTGAGGAAACCAAGGAGAAGGAGAGAAAGATGACATTCAAGGTCTCCCCCAAAATATGTGGGCAGATTTGGGACTAGAACCCAAGTTTTCTGGCCTTCACTCTAGGGCTGTTTCCACTACCATGAATTTCCTCCAGTTAGGAGCCCTGTTATTTTCTGTGCTCAGTGGAGCAAAGAATAGGAAGTCTTGGGTCAGTGGATCCTTCTTGAAGCCATCACTCATTTCCCTGTACCTGAGGGTCATATTCTGGAAAAGAGATCTTATCTCTCTCCTGGCTTAGGGTTTGAAAATCTTGCCTGGCAAGAAATTCTTTCTGTTATCCAACCTAAGATCAGAGCTACAGCTTTCCTGGCAGATTTCCTTCAGCCTGCAGTGTCTGCTCCTCGGAGGCTGTTGTGTGTATTGGGTGTGCCTGTGTTTGAGAATAGCACAATCTTACACATTTTCAAACTTGAAAGGACTTCAGAGAGAGAAACATGTTAGAATAGATACGGTAGATTATCTTTCCTGAGTGAATTTTCAGGACTGGAAACACCAGACATATTGGGGAGGGTCCATCTGTGTGAATTGCCAGAGGATATGGGACACTTCTCTCCAGAGCGTGTGTAGTCCCACAGCCTCTTGGCTGAGGGAAGTCCTGAAGGAAATGCACCTTGTTCCTTCCTCAGGGATGGGGACCCTCCAGCCCAAAGCTAGGCTGTGCTGCTCTTTGCTGATATGCCCCTCTCCCTGCCCCCCACCCTCAGTCTTATCCAGGCTTCTTGATCTAGCTTTCTGCTTGGCTGTGGGGGCTGCTGGGAGCACCACAGCACACCAGCTTCTAATTAAACTAATTAATCATGCCTGCTCCTTTATGCAGCATCCTTACTGTTCCCTAAGCACTGTACTGAGGGAGGAGGAGACTGAGGCCCAGCACAGAAGGGCGCATGTGGACTCCAGGCCCCTCTTTCTTGGCCTATAGTGCTGATTGTTTCCTTCTCTGCAAAGCTTTGTCATTAGCACTTTTATCCATCCTTACCTGCATCTGTGCTGCCCACCCACGTATGATTTAGCACACCCAGAATGGGAGAGAATAGAAGTTTTTCTGCCACTAGGGAAGTGATTCTTTCCTGCCTTTTGCTTCTGAGCCCTTTATAGAACCCTGAGGAGGGGGACAGGGCCATTATAATGGAGCTGAAGAGGCCACATTGCTTTCCCAGAGTTAACCAGGTGAGGGAGGAAGGGGGCAGTGTGATTTGGAACCCTGTTCACTTGTGACTCTGAGGGCCTACAGTGGCCCTGGGAAGGAATGAAGAGGAACAGGGTGTCACTGAGGTATGCCCCACCTGAGGTTCTCATCTCTTGGCCCCTTCTCTTCCAGGTGGTGGAGGAGTCCTCCTTCCTGACGCTGGACATGCTGGAGTCCTGTTTTCCTTATGTCCTGCTTCGAAATGCCTATCGGGAGGTGTCCCGGGCCTTCCACCTCACCCGAGTGCCGGCCAGTACCCACTGAAGGGCCCTTTGGACCTACCTAAACCCAGCCATGCCGGAAGCTGTGGCCATTTTCTCAAGGGGTGGGAAGGGGATGGGGTCAGGAGCCAGAGCTGATGAACAGGCATGCCGAGGAACAGCCCAGGGCTGAGAAATCATAGAGAAGTGGGGCAGGCTGGGGGCATGGAGGACAGTTTACGGAAAACGTTAGGGGATTGGGGCCATGTGTGTGAATTTTTACAATGAAAAGAATGAGTGACCTGCAAGTATGTTTTCTATCTTCTGGTGACTGGAGCGTGAGCTCTGACTGGCATGGGTCTCTCAGACCTTCATCACTATTCTGGGATGATGCTGGCGGGCAGAGATGATCAATCATCATATTAAACCATAATGAGCTTATAATCCTCCCACTGGAGCTGCTATTGTCTCCTGCACATTCATTAGGACGATTATCTCCTCTCTTCCTTTTCCAAATGTGTTCAGCAAACATTCAGCCTGCTCCTGCTGCAAAGCAGTGGCAAAAGAGCCCCTTTTTTCCTTTGTGGGGGCTCTTTCAGGAGTCGTAGGTCTCTTCCTCTGCTTCCAGCTCCACTGCCTGCAGGGGCAATGAGGACGCGCTCTTGAGAGATTTTCACTGGCCCAACCCCCTCCATCTGCTCTACCACACCTGGTGGGTAATGAGTAAGTTCTCCCACCTGTTTAACTTGACACCGCCCCCCCGCTATTTCCTTGACAGAGCCACAACCCAGAGCAGAGGGTCAGTCTAGGTAATTCTAGGTCACATGACAACTAATTGGACCAGAATCATGTGGGTTTCCCTCCCAGACCATTTAGGGGTACTCTCCCTCCTATCTGGAGGGACTAATTGAACCCAAATCCCCTTGTCATCCTAGGTACGGCTGTTGCTCCAGGCAGGGATTTCTCTTCTAGATCTTAAATTTCATAGACCTCATTAGGTTATAGGGCTCTGAGAGCGGGTATACTTGAGGGAGTAGAAGCTGTTTCAACTTAGCCCTTTTCTGCACTAATTAGAATTTCAAGTGTCACAAAGCCTGGGGCGTTCAAGATAGCACTCAACTGGGTTTAGTTAACTCCATGGCAGGAAACAGTGGCCCCATCCATCACTTCTGTGCACCCACTGCCAGGGAGGACTGGAGCTATAGATCATATATGTCACAGGTCTAGAGTGGTTGGAATAGGCACATGTAATTAACTAGTTGATTAATTAGGGTCACGTCCATACTTCCACGATAAGAGGGAAGCAATTGTTGGTTTTCAGCAAAACCATTTGGCCTTCATTAAAGCTATTTGATACCTGTTTTTGGATTTTATATGTGTGTTTGATCTTTATTTCTTGAGACTCAGGCTTAGTCAATACTTTTTTAACTTGACACCCATAATCCATACACAAGTTTTCCTTAGCAACAATTGTCTGCTCTTTGGGATAGAAGCAACAGAAGATCCTGCTTCCTGCATCAGCTAGTTGTCCTTGCTTGCTGTGGAAAGGACATTATGTTCTAAGGAGTGACTCAGGGTCAGGCCTACTGAGACAGAGGGCAAAGCTGATGAGGAAAAGAAGGCTCAGAAGTATCTGAACAACTACTCTTATATCCTGATATCTCTGCTGGGAGCTGCTTCTTGAGGAGATAGAGACCTTTTTTCCATCTGCATGTAGAACCACGTAAGAGGAGCCTCCCGCAGGACAGCAAGACAAGTTGCTGCAGGGGAATAGAGGGTAGACATAATAGCTTTTTTCAAATTAAAGTTTTTATTGAGATAGTTAAGCCACATGCACTTGTAAGAAGTAATACAGAGAGATCCTGTGTACCTTGACCAGTTTCCCTCAATGGTAACGTCTTCCAAACTACAGTATACTATCACAACCAGGGTATTGGCGGTGACACCATCTGCTGATCTTATTCAGGTTCCCCGGTTTTACCTAGGCTCGTTTCTCTGTGCATATGTAGTTCTGTACAGCTTTATCACGTGTAGGTTTGTGCATCCACCACCACGGTCAAGGTCCAGAAGGACCCCTCATGTTGCTCTTTTATAACCACTTCCCTTCTGCAACCCCCTTCCTCTTCCCTAACCCCTGGCAACACATATCTGTTCTCCTTTTCTAAAATGCTATTTCACATAGTATCTTTTTATAAACATATACTTACACACATACTTCTCCATCACATATACTTTTTCAAAGCACTCATATCCTTATGACAATTCTGCAAGGCAGCCAGAGAAGGCTTCCCTATTTCAGGCCAGTAAACAGATCCAGAGATGTCAGATGACTAAGGAAGGTCACACGTTTAGCAGTACACCTAGAACTGGGACCCACGTCTGACAGTCAGTCCTAGACCTTCCCTACTGACCAGACTGCCTCTTCATCTGGGAAGACTTTGTGGTTAGAATCCAGAGACCCTAGAATGAGCAAAAATAGGAGGTGAGGACATGATGGCCTTCACCACCTGAAACAAAAGGCGACTGTCTAGAGGTGAAGGGACAGGTGAGGTAGCAGGACCCATCAGCATTTTAGGCAGTTTGCTTCCTCCACCATGAGGGTCTCTGGCCTCTTAGAGCCCGGGACACAAGCAATTATGAATTGCTTTCTGCTCTCAGATCTCCAGCTTGCTTTATTTAGACCTGAAGCCAACTGAGGAATGAATATCAGGGAGAAATTCTGACCCTGATTGTTTTGTCTTGCAGGCAGAGAGTAGGTTCTAGCCTCAGCATTTTCATTAGCGCAGTGTTTTCATTAAAATCTCCATTAACTTGTTTGCAGCAATGAGATGGAATTATCCCTCCTACCAGGCCTGGGGCGAGATGCTTGCAGAGGAGCTCCCTTTCCTTGGTACAGTAAAAACAGTGCTTCCCCACTCTGGTGTGTAGTCTAGCGGTCAGGTGAGGGCAGCCTCTAAGCGCAGCGGGGCTGGGACCTGGCCGAGGAGATCTTCCCCTTTGGCACTTGGCCTGGGAGGAAGAGAACCACTGTGGGTTGAGCCCTGGGATCCAGGAGGGAGGGAGGCCCCAGCTAGGATTTTCTTAACCTTAGGTCCTCATGCCTGTATCAGTTCTTCTCCAAGAAAGTTTGACTTTGAGAAGAAGCCGGCACATGGTTGAAATGCACTCACGCGGTTGGGGAGAGAGTGTTCTTCCAGCCCTCCTCCCCACAGGGCCTCCTGCTCCTCCTAAGTACCTGTCATCAAAGGAGATGAAGATGAATCCCCTCTCAGCCCCCACACCTCAGTGAGTTGTCAAGTCCTCCCCCTCCCACCTGAATAGGAAGCAGGAACAGCAGGCCAGGCTGCAGGTTGAGGAAGTCAGAAGTTAACTTGAGCTGAGTTTGCAGCTCTGGAGAGACTGAAGAGCAGGCTTTTCTCCTGTCACTTTGGAGGGAGAGGATTGTGAGGCCGCCCCTTTAAATAGCATTCCCGTAGGAGGCAGATCACATCCATCCGTCACTGCTGCCAAAGCATCATTTTTGGTCTCTATCAAACTCAAAGCTGTTGGAAGGGATTGTGGGGTTAGGGGGGTGAGGAGGCAGGGTCTTCAAGGGGAGGGGCAGTTGAGAAGCTGAAAAGGAGAAGAATGAGGTTGGACAGAAGGAGCCTGGGAAAGGTGGGGGTGGGGGACAGGAGGAGAAAGAGAGAACAATAGACTTTTGAGCAGATGAATGAAGCAGGCATTCCCTGTTCTTATCTCTCTAGAGGTAGGGTAAGGCAGAAATGGGATTGGATTGCAACAAGAGGAATGCCATTGAGGTTCAACACCAGGACTGGTGACTAAAGAAAGAGAAAGAGGGGCCGGCCCCGTGGCTTAGCGGTTAAGTGCGTGCTCTCCGCTGCCGGCGGCCCGGGTTCGGATCCCGGGTGCGCACCGAGGCACCGCTCTTCCGGCCATGCTGAGGCCGCATCCCACATACAGCAACTAGAAGGATGTGCAGCTATGACAGACAACTATGTACTGGGGCTTTGGGGGAAAAATAAATAAATAAAATCTTTAAAAAAAAAAAAAAAAAGAGAAAGAGAACCACAGAATGGAAAAGCACTAGAAAAATGTTAGGAGGCGTCGCCCTGGCTTTGTCGCTTACTCTCTGTGGGATCATATAATTTTTCTGGGTTTAGTTTTCCCTTTGTTAAATGAAGGGACTCTCAAGTCCCTTTAAATGATGGACTCTAAAGTCTCTTTCACAAATAAGTTTTTTAGGGGGTGACTTTTCCTTAAAATAGGTTAGGAGTTGGGGGCCTGGAGAGCAGGGGTGGGATATGCCACTGTGTTGACAAGGAATGTTGAGACCCCTCTGCAAGTATGTCTCTGCCTCTTTTCCACCTCTTCTAGTTGAGATACCTGCCTAATTTGGGAATCTCCTTAGCTCTAATCTTAATTTCCTAATTAGAGCTCTTTAGCTCTAATCCTAATTAGCAATTCTTTTGTCGTTTCCAGCCCATTCTTTTTCAGTTGATAAAAAAGGCGATTGCTCTCAAGTTTTGAGAACTAGGTTGTGTAGGAGTTGACCTGGGGCCTCAGATGCAGCTCTGTCTTGGCTGGGACTGTTCCTCGGGCTAGGAGGGGAAAGGGGATGTGAGCTGAAGTTAGATGGACAGAGAGGGGAAGGCCCAGTATTCTTTCGCTTTTTCTCCATCTCTGACTCTGCCATCTCCTTACGCCCCCAACTTCCTGGGAGTTGGTTCTTTTGATACTTATCTGTCCTGCCAGACCTGAAGGCCCCACCCAATCTGCCTAGAAGGCAATTCTTTCCTGTTGGAAGTCTGCACCTTGCCACTTCACTTCTGCTCTTTTCTCCTCCATTGCCTGGAAATGGGGGAAGGGCACCCCCCCCCATTTAGAATGAAGTAAATACCTTCTCCTGATCACTCCTCCTTCTAACCTCCTGAGTTCTTGAAATTAAAACTCACATCCTGGGATCCTGGATCCAGCAGTCAGTGAATACATTTCTGTTGACAGGATTTCCCCCATTGCCAAAGGGGGGTGGTCATTAAGGAGGAGAACAATTTGAAGGACCTAAGGTGGTTCTTGCCAGAGTCCCCGGTAGGACTCAGTTGGATGGGAGAGGCTTTGCCCTGTTACAAGGTCTGGAGTTCAAATTCCAGTTCATTCATTCTACCAATGTTTTAAGCAGCCAGGTTGTTTTGTGCTGGGCCCTTAGCCATTAGATTTCTTTCACTGAAGACAGAATAAGAGGAAATAAACTGGAACGCTACAGGAGGGGTTGAGATGAGATATCAGGAGTGACTTCCTGGCCCTAATGGAGTTATATATAGTCAAAGAAAATGTGGTGCTGCCTGCTCAGGTAGATTCTCTCTGGAAAGCTTTAAGCGTGGGAGAAACTCTCACCTGCCAGGGGGGTTGTTAGAGGCCCCAGAGGAAGGCCACCGCGATGGAGGCACGTCAGGACCACCCAGCAAAGGGAACTGAGGAGAGGAGTGGGATGCCATGGCAACTCAGAGCAGACCCTGAACTTTTCCTTTCAGAGGCAGGAGCACAAGTGCGAGGGTCTGGTCTGGGCTGGGTTCTGATGGTGGGTGGCACCACTCCGCCAGAGTGGCCGGGTCTCCCAGGCAGAGAGATGTGGACTCACCCCTGCGCCTCCTCACACTTGGCGGCACAGGCGGCTAGGCACACGTGGATCCGTGAAACCACACGCACATACACAGAAACTCAAAACACACACCAAGGGAACCCACACAACCACCCCCACCGAAGTCCTGCGCCGCCTGCGCTGCACTCTGTAAACACGCGCTCGCATCCGCCCGCGCGGGGCACACGCAGCCCCCCGCAGCCGCGCCTGTGTGCGGACGCTCGCCCGCCCTTGGGCGCTCCTGTCTCTGGGTGCCCCCCACTTCCAATCGTTCCTCTGGGAGGGGGAGGAGTGGCTGCGGGGAGTGAGAGACGAGCGGGCAGGCAGAGGAGAAGGGAGGGGGGCAGAGGGAGGGGGACCGGGCCGGGGGAGGAGGAGAGAGGCGAGGAGGCGGCTCCGGCAGCGCGCGGCGGCGGCGGCGGCGCGGAGAGCTTGGACTGGGAGCCCAGAGCTCGGCTGGGCAGCGGGAGAGGAGGAGCCGCAGTTCCTGCGGCTCTGCCAGCTTGGGCCGAGCCTAGAGACACCGGCCTGGCTGGTCCACGCCAGCCGCAGGTGGGAAGGGGCTGGGATGGGGGGTCCGGGTCTCCGGGCTAGGGGCTGAAGCTGAGCCGCGGTGCTGTCTCCTCCTTCTGCTCCATAGACAGAGGCTGAGCATGGAGCTGTCCCCCCGCAGCCCTCCCGAGATGCTGGAGTCGGATTGCCCGTCACCCCTGGAGCTGAAGTCAGCCCCCAGCAAGAAGATGTGGATTAAGCTTCGGTCTCTGTGAGTCCCCGGCCCAGCCCGGGGAGTAGGGGGAAGGGATCTTAGGGAGCCTGGAAAGGGGTGGTGGTGGCTGGAGGCGGGCTAGTGGATTCTCTTGGGCACACATGTTAGCAGGTGCGAGGAAATAAGCTGCCCTGACACGCGTGGCCAGACCACATGTGCAAGGCATGTGCGGAGCAAGCCAGCTGGTTGGAGCGGGTTTAGGAGTTGCAAAGCTAACGATGTGTCTGTGCAGGTGGACCCCCGGGTGGCACGCAGCACAGAGAGGCGGCACAGTATGTGCGGTGTGGCAGGGCTGTGGACGGGCAGCATTCAGGAGGTGCCAGGCTGACTCACACATATCCGTGTGCTGGGTTGTGCAGATGTGAAACACATCATATATGTGTGCATGAGTGTCCATGGGTCACAGAGATGTGTGGAGAGTGACTGCACACAGCTGCAGATTTAGTGCATGGGGATACTTGTGCCAACCTGTGGGTCATCAGTATCTCTGTTGGGATTGGTGGTTTCTGCCTCCTGCATCCTACATGGGGTGGGGGCAGGGGGTGCCCCATACCTGAGCTGCTCATCTCTCTTGGGGCCTGGAAACCCACTGCATATTAATGATGGGGGAGTCACCTGGGATCTGGAGAAGGGGTGGAGCCCCCACCTGGGATCTGAAAGAGAGGGTGTGGAGCCCCTACCTCGGAGCTGGGGTGGTGGTGAAGAAAGATTGACAGGGGCCAGGTAACTGTCAAAGCCTTTTTGTTGCTATAGGGTCTCGCAAGGATGTCCAAGTACATTTAGGCATCTTTGCTTATTGTTGTGGGATGAAGGCATATGGGGAGGAATAAATAGGGAAAGGAAAGACTCAGGTGTCCCATACTCCAGTCCCAGGGGGGGAAAGGAACTTTTCTTCCTGCTCCTCAGAGAAGGAGAGGATTGGGTCTAAGACAAGCCATGTACCATGTTTATCTCCCAATCAGCTGCCATTGGGTGATCTCCGCAGTCTGTTGATTCTTAATCAGAGAACAAGGAAAGGTGCACCTCTCCCTGGTATCTCCCCATGGCCCCAGGAAAGAGGCCACAGATGTTTAGTGAGGAAATACAGCAAACAGCCCCTAATCCCAGTTCCTCCCCAGTATCTTCAATAGTGAGCACTGGAGCTTTCCATTTCTGGGCTTTGGCAGAGGGAGAGATGGGGGTAGGAGATGGATAGATGCGTATGATTGTGTTGTTCTTTAAATACCTCACCTGTGGCGATATGATGACTCTTGCATATTGGGCAGGTGGGTCTGATTTATACACTAGCTGCTGAGGGAGGCCTTAGGGAGAACCGAGGCATAGCGGGCAACAAGGCTTGGCGTCCAAATGTGCTTCTCAGTGCCCCTTGCCTGCTGCCTCCAGCCAATGCAATTTGCCAGGCTCTATGAAGCGCAGCCTTGGAATGAGTTCTGGGATGAAGAAATGGAAAACCGGATTGAATTGATTTTTGTTGGGAGGAGCACTGGGTGATTCTTGATAGAAAATGATGCTCTGTTAATGTTAACTAAGCTGGGAAGAGGGGTGGGTAAGGAAGTGGTGGAAAGGCAAAGAAGGGACCTCAGGGTCCATCAATGGGAGAATTCAAGGTGTCCCAGGATGGCTTCCCCATAGCCATCATATACTCATCATATACTCCACTTGCCTCTACTCCAGTTAACGGGCCTGCAAAAGAGCAGGTTTTACCTGTTTCACTATCTTCCACATCAAGTCTTTCCTGGAAGCGAATTGCTGTTTCTTCCTTTAGTGTGAGAAGTGCTCAGTGGTGAGAGAAGAGGATCCCCAGAAGGAGGCGTTGAAACCTAGGGAAGGAAGGGAGTAGAGGCAGCTACCCTTACAGAGTGCGCTAGCTGAGATGTCCTTATAGGAGATCATGGTGGACAAGGGTCACTAGTCTCATTGATTAGATTATTCTGGTCTTCACTCACTTCTACAATCTAGACCTTAAGAGTGCTAGCTATGTGTACTAACTTACCCAGAAAAAGTACCATCTCCTCATTAGTAATCACCAGGAATAGATTCCCAGTCTCACTTTCTCAAAGCAGAGAAAGATCTTGATATCAAGGGAGACCCCAGGTTGATGGCTTACTGGATTTGGCCCTGTTTGAATATTGGGGAGGCTTTGACAATCAGATTAAGGAAATAAAAGGATTTAGGACTTTTGTTGGGTAGGAGAGAGAAATTCCCCAACTCTCAGGGTCGAGTGATTTCTGAAGAGGTGAGCAAAGAAGGCCTTCTCGCTTTTAAATGGATATAGAACACTCCCCACCCACCAACCCCAGTCACCACCTGTCCCTAAATGGGCCTGAGTGGGAAGGGGTTGTTTAGTCTGGAAATGGGGGGTGGATATGATTATCTCAGGACTGAGCATTGAAGAGAAATGAAGGCAGATGGAATATATATATATAGTAATAAATGTATTTATAAATATATAAAGACCTGATTCCCCTACTCAACATATCCTATTCCACCCCCCCAACCCCCGCACTTTTAATTTCCAATCTAGGACATCTAGACTCTCTTCAGGGAACCCAGGCCTGTTGTTTCTGCATCTGGTTAAAAAGCCCATACTAATATAATTTGCAGGGCAATTTCTTCGTGGGAAGGGCATCCCGGAATACTGTTTCCCACACTAGGACTCTGCCAAGGATAAATTCAGAATCTGGAGCAAATGATCTGGAGAGTCTCTAACTGTGGGATTTCACCTCTACCTAGCAGGAAAATTTTCCTAACTAAGCAGATTCACAAGCTGAGGCCTGAGCGAGGCTGGGAGCGGCAGTCTGAGATGATGGGTTGACAAGGATGATTTTCAGCATCTCTAACCCTAAGATGAAGGATTTGACTTGCCTGCCCACACTTCTCTGAGACCAGAGGGCCTTGAGGAGTGTGAGGAGGGTCGGTAGAAGTAGAAGGGGTTTTCTGTATCTTCTGTGAATCAGGAAAAACTATGAGCTGAGATTGGTTTGCCATCCTTAGCTCTTTCATTCATTCAACAACTATTAACTGAGTGCCTCCTGTGGGCCAGATGAATGCTGGATGCTGGGAATATAGTGATAGACAAAATGGACACAGTCCCTGCTCCTATAGGGCTTGTAATCTGGTTCAATTCCATCAATGGAGTGGAGCGTGGAGGAGGCACCCTGTTCCTTGTTTTGCTACACCCACTCAATGGGTAAAATTCTGCCTAATCTTTTCCTTTGGGAGGTTACACACACAGGAAAAGCATAGATATGAATTCTCTCTCCTGGGATAGTACAAGCATCACTCTCTTCTCTCTGCTTCAGTTTCTCCTGGAATTTTACAGACAGAACTTCCCTCTTCCTTTGGGATAGGATAGACACAATCCCTTTCTCTTCTCCTTTCTCCACATGGTACACACTCAGAACTCTCAAGGTCTAGGCTCAATGTCCTAGGCTGTGGTTCAAGGTCATGACAGCTGAGCTGGAGCAAGGACCCAGTAGGGGATTATTTTTCCCTATCTTTGTTTCATCAGAGTCTAGTGTGGTACCTGGAACATAAGTGGCACTCAATAAATGCTATTAAACGAAAGAATGAATGAATGAATTAATGAATGTATGTGTATATGTCACAGAGCCCAGTTCTGCCTCTGATTCTGTGGTGTGTGTGTTCCTGCCTGCAGAGCGGGGAGTAGGAAATGGAGACGGAAGAAAGGGAGATGTTGTTTTTTGAGAGGGTGACGTTTAAAAAGTGTGGGGTTTGGAGACCTCAGGACAGAGCCTGGAACTGAAGGAGTTACAGAGAGGATGCAGAAACACCGTTGTTTGGATATATGAATGAGATGTATCAGGATGAAATTCTGAATGCCTGCCATGTATCCATATGTGGCTGGGTAAAGGTTGATGTGTGTGCTGGGGACCGGGTGTGGAGTCAGAGCTCCGTGATGATGTCTCTTTGTCTTTATGTTTATAAATGGCATGTGTGATAATAAATATGTCGGGAAGTATGCACTTACCTGAACACCTGAAATTGTTCTATGTACGAATAAGATGATGTGTGTGTGTATGTGTGTGTGTGTAGGTAATGGGATAACATGTGTGATCTTGTATATGTGTTAATGACACACTCAAATTTTCTGATCATCCTGGGCAGGAGGAAGCTGAGGGGCTGGACTGGGTGCCTCACTGACTTATCCCACCTTTGTCCTCATTTTGTATAAGCCCCATGGAGTGCTCATCTGTGGCTCTTGCCAGTTTTGAAAACCATGCTGCTCTCTTCCTTTCTCTGCATATGGCTGTGGAGCTGCTGCGAAGATGGCAGGATAAACTGTGATTCCCTGGACCTCTGGAGAAAAAGGAGCATCATTTCTCCCAGGCCCTGGCAGGGATGATTGTTAGTGCCTTCTTCCTTTATTTCCAACCACGGCAAAAGGAATCTCCCCTCCCTGGGCTTTATATGCCCCTCTCCCATCAGATGTCTTCCGTCTCTCTATTTCCTCCATCAGCTTTGTCTTGAGTGAGGCATCTCCAGATGGTAGAGGGTGGAAAATTCCTACAGTAAGGTGAAGGGGAGGTGCAGAGATAAGGGAAATCAAATTCAGACCAAAGGAAGAACTTCACAAACCTCTGGTCCGAGTAGGTGGCTGAGAGAATCAGGGAGGCAGGAGTGGGGATTGGAAGAGCTTAGGGAATGTTGGGAGATTGAGTTTGGGTTCATGTTCCCGTTCTGTTCCCACTAGCTGTGGGATCTTAAAGCTACGTAGTCTCTCTGTATCTCAGTTCTTCATTTGATGTTATCCCTATGAAAGCGGTTTTTAAATGGTAAAGTCAGGAGAGTTTCAGCATTGGAGAGCTTGCTGTGTGAAGAGGCGGGGGGATGGGAATGTATGGGTGTCCACTGGCTCGGATGGGGAGAAAGATAAAGATTCAAGAGGCAGGAATACGGATTACTGAATAGGTTGAGTCCTGGTGTCTGGGACACGATTTGGAAGAGTCTTGTTGATGAAAGGTTGTCTGGAGGGG